TTTCACATTTCTTCACTGTTCAGTGATTAAAGCAATCATTTCATAGTAGACATTAAACCATTGATACATTACATTTACATTTTATGTATTTACCTTCTGTCACTCTATATCATTCATCAATCATAGAGTAGAAGAATGAGGGACTCCAGGCATCTAGGACTATGCCCTCCCTATAATAATATCCACATAAAACAAAATAGAATCATGCATATATCACCAGTCCTTAGATTGGTCAAAACTGACCTTCAGACTCCACTACCATATCAATATAAAAAATCATTAACATGTCATCTATGCACTCTCTCTATCTTCCTCCTCCAATGAATATTGCTGAGTGAGCAAGTTTTCAACTAATCTACTTCATGTGTATGGAATACATATTGTTTACAATTTTAGAATGTTGGAAACACTACTTGCAATTCTTAAAAAAACTTTCGTTTGTAAGCCCTGCCCAAAAAGTATTATTTTGTATTGAACCAGATTCTGTCCTAACTTTATGTCAAAGGTTGTTGAAATACAAGAAAGAACAACTAAGATTAGGACCATTTCCTCTGATACATTATCATGTATGCACATAGACTGACATATCAACAAACTGATTCCAGTCATATTAACTGTTTTTAAGCAACATATAGACCAAAAATACAAAAGACCTGTTGTTTTTGACACAGTGAACATGATAGCACATTGTGTATGAAAATATAACAATATGACCAGGCCATGACACACTGACAGGCTACAAGATAATATGTCTATGGAATACATATTACTGTTTTCTAATTCTGAAAGATTCATGAATAACTACCTCTATGATTGTATGATAAATACAGATCATGAAGAAGAGATCATACTTATGGCATTTCTGAAAGAAAGAGAAAATAAGAAAGCTTAGGGGGCACTCTGATGGCTAATAAAAGACTTCCATTCTTGTAAAGCTGGGATTCCCCAGATTATGACTTATTATACGGCATAAATATAACAACAAATTACTCCTTTTTTTTCGATCACTACTCAGAGCACCATAGTTAACTGGCTAAAAAATGTAAGTATGCCACACATCTTAGTTCCATGTGAAATGAAAATCATGAAAAACTAAACACACTAAAGAAATGAAATTTTGCTACACTGACTATAATGATGATCAAAGATAATAGGTAGGTCACAGCGAGGTGTGTTCATTCATGGCATGGGTTATGAAATCCAGAATCAACAAGTCTGTCACTGAACATGCCACTTCAAGATCTACTGGTTGATGAATAGCAACCAAACAGTAATCTTCCTTTACACCATGTAAATGTAAAAATATAAACATCTCAAGTAGATAGGACTATGTTCTAGGAAATCTATAGAGTAGTCTCCCCTAGATTTCAATATACATGTCTATTGCATGGTCTATGGGAGACCTGACTAGTCCTACAAGACAAACAACTAACCCAACTTGGGCAAAAGTCTTTTGAGGGGTTAAAAGATCTTTTGACAAAACATCATGGTTGGTAGGTCAACAACAAGAAAAAAAAAGAAGAAAACACATAATCAAATTTTAAGTATATTTGAGGATTTTCTAAAATATAAGTCGATTTTAATTACAGTAATTTATCTTTGTTGATAACAAGGGGACATCAGTGGCTTTATTGCAAACACTGTACTTATTTCTGGCAGGAAGCAAAAAAGCCATCCTAGTGCGTTTTATTTATATATTTTAATGTCTTTGGATAAACCAAGTTTTTGACAGAATCTGGCTTAAAGCATAAACATAAGAACCACACAAGCTTGGTTCTAATGCATAATATCATTGCTGAAATTGTTTACAATGGTTAACTTGAACATACATATATATATATTTGGTAAATGTTATATTTTGGTGGTATCATTTGGAATGTGCAGGTCAACTGGACATTAGTAATGAGGGTTGATTTCAGTCCAGACTTGCAGTGCAACTATTACACTGTGTAGAGTGAAGAGTGGTAATTAAAGACTTTATTGCAAAAGCATTTAAATAATAAAAACATAACTACCAATACTAAAGAAATACTGTTTGGTGCATATCTAATGATGTCATTACTGAAAAGATATCTCTTAGATTTCGTTAACATATTTTTAAATGGTTTTAATAATATTTGAAACAAGCTAAGAAACTTAATGTAATAATAAAGTTACTCATCACATGACAAAGTACAATATCCCCAAACTTCACAATCATACCAACCTAATTCAATCTCTGCTGATACAAATGTAGAGTTTTATCTTTGACTTGATGATATATAATTTCAGACTAAGTTGTAAATGACATGATGTACAAGACCAGTTACATGATTGGCTAAAACAATAAAGAGATAGGGATCAATTTATTTATAAGCTGATTCTTTACTGATTCTTTTCTAATAATGAATTACAGTGTAGCAGAAAAAAAGAAACTTGAATTCTGCTGACCAGAAAATATATTTATGATCAACATGACCACCCTTCTGTGCAGTGAAATGAGAAATCAAATCATTCACACTTGTCTTCTAATCGTTCCAGTGTGTATTGGTTCACATAATCTACCTGCCATTGATCTGGATACATTCATCTTCAATATTTCAATACAGAAAGCAAGACACCATTAACAGTACAATGTACATGCATCAGTAAATGCACAAAAGCTTAATCACATAAAAATCAATAAAATGAGATTCAATAAAATTTGCCATGTTTAAAAAGAATAAACCTCATTGACAACATACCAAATAAAACATTTTGAAAATTTCCACACATCACTATCAATGACTAAAATCTACTTTGTATAAAATCTATAAATAGCACAACTATGTCTAGTGAGCTCACAAAGTGTGATAGAAATTTGCATATTATTTCTGAGTATCTGAATATATGCAAATCATATTCAGAAAATTGAATTTCTCTGAATTTTCCAGGTCACCAAACAAAATGACTTGCATGCACTGTATGAATTGCAGCAATATTCCAGAAAAATCTAGAATAAATATCAATAAAGTTAGATCTTTCTGATTTCATATAATCTTACAAAATACAAGAGATTGATTTTTTTCTTTCCTCTGCATGTTTTATCACCTATCTTTGTAAATGCAGGATTATTGGTGTGTACATAAGAAAACATTTTCATTCACAATCACAAACAATGACAGGTTTATTGATAACATTATCATTTCCCACTATTTCTTTGAATTACTTATATAAAACTATGCACTCATAGTATTTCCCCCCGATGCTGTAGATGTTTTCCCTCGTTCTTAAAGAAAACCAAGTTAAAAAGTTATTGGTTTACAAGAGAATACGGACAGTCTTGATAAACTCTGGAATATCATGTACATTACTAAAATGCTAGTACAAACAAGGCTACTCAGCATGTAAGAAACATGACATACATTTTCATTTCAGTTATATAAAAAATTATGAATTCATAAAAAATATTTCCCCGTGAAATTCAGTATTTGTACCAACTATTCAAATGCAGGTATCAGAGTTATATCATTGATGCCATTTGTCTGATACCAAACATTAAACAACCAGAATTCCAACTGTTTGACATGTAAAATCACAGATATATAAAAGAAAGATCAATATAATTATCTTAATCGTCTTTCAGCTACATCTGTTTGGACAGAATTTGTCAGTTGGTTCATCGTTTGTACAGGTGAAAAGGTTCAATATTAAGCATTTCCCTCCCTTTCACTTCTCCATTTCCTACTTTGAAGTCATGGCAATTACCAATTCAATCAAGGCCAATTACATGTATTTCAAATACTACTCAGTCAGGTTTAACATATCCTGGAAGCAGTGTTTCAGTTAGCCGTAACTTCAGGAACAATACAAGAAGATGATGTAAACTGGGCAAAAGAAACTATACACTTAAAAATTGGATTTGGAAAATAATTTAAAGCTTTTCTAGGCTGAAAACAGTAGCCTGTTACGAGGTACTCATTGATGTGAGTCATATAATATCGCCTGTGATACGCGTATCAAATACATCACCATTGAATAACCATTTATTGTTTGTTCGTTCAAACCATCAAATTGTCTAATTTCTTTTCCTATGCAGCTTAGGTCATAGTCAAGCACCATGAGCATGGATGGGTATACAGTGCTAACAAAGGTTCATGCACCTTCTGACATTCATGATGAACAATTCCTGCCACTGCTAAGGGGAGACAACTATGCACAGAAAACTGCTGTGTCTTTGACCAATTATTGAGTATTTTGTTCCAACTCCATTAATAGTGATTCTAATTATTATCAGAGAGTTTACATTGGGATGTCAGTTAAACAAATTTGTACTAGAGTGATACTGTGGACATTATAAAATTTATATCATAATTATATCTATAATCAGAAAAGATCTGAATACTTGAAAGTCCCACTAAACAAACCTTTCAAGAAGCATTGTGATATGATCTTTGTGACTCCTTATGTTTTTCAGAGATCGTCAATAGACAGTGAAAAGTGGGAAATAATAATAGTTGTAATATTTGCTGTCCAAACAGGTGTAAGACTCTTCAACTTCATGATCTGACTTAAAAACAGGGCACCTACATCCTCCTAAATGAAAACAAACATTGAGTGAAGGAAGGAAAGGACAACATGAGATTCCCCAAACTAACACATATCCCACTGCCCATTAGCCCTTATTGACAAACCTCTCCATGAAGCATATCCCAATAGTATGAAGGTTGTGATGATACATGATAACCTGTCAACAAGCTCTATTCCATCCGGTTCAGAATCATAATTCAGTCAAATTACAATATTTATCCAATTGAAATTGTACATATCGTATGCAAGAAGATGTACTCATGTTTTCACTATAAACAATGTCTCCCTTGTAAATACATCTATGTTTCTGTATCTACACATGCTATGGAGATCCATGGATATTTTTTATGAACTGTTGCACAAGTGTACAGTTACTTTGATATCACTGGACAGGTTCTTTTTATTTAAACATGTACTGTATTTATACACAACCTAACTAACTATCCACTGCTTGTACAGAATATTTTAAAGCACTGATGCTTAGACTGTCACAATGAACCAAGTATATGGACCGTATTGTCGACAGAATATTGTGATACACTGATACTTACAGAGAATCATAATATGATACTGTGGAAGTATCCTATTGCAACAATACTTTAAGAAAGTATCATACTATGACAATGATACTTATAGGGTATTGAAGATTAGCAACAGCCCTGCAGATCATGTGTGGGGATATGACATGTGGACTACATGTTTTACCACTCAAACTGTATCTATTTTCATAGATAAAACCCAGTCCATTCTCTTTAGTGCTTGGAATCTTACATGAAAAATGGTCAGATTTGGTCACTGGAAATGATATATACGGTAACAGTTTACAAATCTTACAGGGTGATGCTATGATGATTTGGGGTTGATATAACAGATTTCTCAGATGTAAAATCTGCATGAAATTCTTGGCCTATTACATAAAATCGTTTTTTATACAGAATAAATCTGTCCATCATGATTTGGTGTAAGTCTTTAAAGACGGACTCCGCTCAAACAAACAGGCAAACTGGCATGTTTGATCAAAGTAATTTCACATCGACTTTGCTAACAACTTTTATGATGTAGATCAGAGTGGCAGTAAACCACACCCTAATTACACACAGACAATGGAAACCTTTCGGCACAGTCCGTCATTAATCTAACTTAAATACACAGTTTTCTGGTTTTTGAGGCACAATTTATCTGAATCATATCAATTACCTTTTCCTATCATCTAGTTCTGGCATATATATATTTTTAGCTTCTTGTTTATACCTTTTAGGATGACACTTGATACTTTGCTATGCAGAGTGTCTACTATATATGACAATAGCATAATACATGCTACACACCAGTCGTGTCAGCCATTTTGGCATAGTTCAAAACCCTGGGGTAAAACTGTTCTACACTAAATATTTACAGGGTGGAGTAGTTTTCATTTTAAACTTCAGATGTCTTACAAAATTCAAACTTTCTAGATCATGAAATATGATACCTTTCATATAAAAGTCCCTCTTAAATTGTTGCATTATTTACACATAAACATTCAAAATACATACAAGGTGAAACTTGGCTTCACTTTAAAACATTGTGTCTCTATACACATCTAAACATGTGAGCAAATAGGTTTGTCAAAGATTACACATTCAATTGCTCTAAAATAAGGAGAATAAATTAATGAATATTTTACATCAACATTTGATTATGCTAGTTAACTGGCTTAAAATCTACATAACTGTCATCTCCTCACGACTGTTAACTTTTGACCCGCCATTTAAATGTGACCCTGCCTTCTCTTCTACTGGAACTGGAGAAGAGGGCTTTGAGGGAATGGAATGAGCTGAAGATCGAGAGGGGGAGGATGTATCGGAGGGGGTTTTCAGAGGTGACATTTGGCTGTCAGCCTGGAACCCTGACCCATCTGCTCCTGGGGTTGGGACTTTGTCCTTGTATTGGTCCATGATACTGTCACATTTCTGGACAAACTCCTCCTGATACTTTTTTATGGCCTGAAAAAGAAGAACATAAATATTATATGCTCAGCAGTTACCCAATTGAACAACCATGACCTCCCTCCCCCAACTGAACCACCATGACCTCCCTCCACCAACCGAAAACTGAAACACCACTGTGACCTCCCTCTGAAACACCACCAACTGAACCACCATGACCTCCCTCCCCATGACTTCAACTGAAATACCAGAACCACCGTGACCTCCCTCCCCCCAACTGAACAACCGTGACCACTGAACCACCTCCTCCCCCAACTGAACCACTGTGACCTCCCTCCACCAACTGAACCACTGTGACCTCCCTCCCCCAACTGAACAACCATGACCACCCTCCCCCAACTGAACCACCGTGGACTCCTCCCTCCACTAACTGGACCACCGTGACCTCCCCCCACTTAATGAACCACCGTGACCTCCCTCCACTAACTGAACCACCGTGACCTCCCTGTCCACTAAATGAACCACCATGACCTCCTTCCACTAAATGAACCACCATGACCTGCCTCCACTAAATGAACCACTGAACCACCGTGACCTCCCTCCCCAACTGAACTAACCACCGTGACCTCCTCTCCACTAACTGAACCACCGACTCCCTCCACTCCACCAACTGAACCACCATGACCTCCCTCCACTAAATGACCTCCCTCCCCCAACTGAACCACCGTGACCTCCCCCCACTAAATGAACCACCATGACCTCCCTCCAGTATGTAAACATGTTGACTTACGTCCTCCTTCTCCTGCTCAAACTCCACCTGTACTGCCTCAAGGTTCTTCTTCAGTTCCTCCTTCTTCTTCTCCAGAATGTCCTTCAACTGTACACAAGGTTTGCATTCAGAACATTATCATAGCAGCAAAAAACAAGCATGTGAAGGAAATGTAAAAATGTTGATCATATTACAACTGAGTAGTACAGTACCAGTGCCCAAGTAGGGAATGAACCCACTTGGCCTGTACCATAAAGATACTTATCACTGTGTCTAAGAATACTACCACTATTACATCACGGACAATATCCATTCAATCGGGCTAAAATCACACTTAAAATTCCTTAGATTTTCAACAAACAGTCCTCTTCACTGTCAGCCATCATAAACAGTTCTCAGGCAAAACATACCTTCTGCAAAAGCCTTGGTGGGAAAAATAACTTCTATCTAATCAGTATGTTTGCTACATACAGATGGGGAAGTGAGAGGGTTTACATTCTGATTGTAATAGAGGGAGTACTTTGAAACTTGTGCTCCAGACCACTTGTGGCAGAGGAGAAATGTCTCAATGATCAGAGGGAGAATTTGACAACTGGAAGTGTCCATTTCATGATTCTGATGGAGACAAGTCACAAAGGCACAGTTTCAGTCAACAAACTTTACAATTTCGTTCCCCACTGTTGTTGTAGGTATGTTAATATTGTGGCATTGTCAGTAGCAGCCAGTACCGACACAACCTGTCTCCCAAGTTTTCATCTCCAGACGTTAATATAGAGAGTTTTGTCAACATCTGTCATGTCTCCTGGACTGTAGTTCCACCTATGGCATTCAGATCAATGGGTGTCATAGAGTTCAGCCAAATTTGAAGAAGGCAGAGCTAAAGTTGTCATCTGTGAGTTCTTGAAAAATACATCAGTAACCCCAGACATTTCATCCACCAACAAGATTGGATGGGCTGACTAACACCTTTCATAATCATCACTTGCAACTTCACGTAATGGTTTGGGTTCTCAGAATACCCTAAGGATGTTTCTTAGCTTTAGATGTGTGAGCAAGTCAGGTAAATCTCAGATAGACTGTCTAAACGAATATCCATCCAACGTATGACAGATTTATTCACCAATGCTGTGATGGAGCAATGCATGAGGGCCTCCATCAGATGAGACAGTGATGAGAGATCAGGTTGGAAACTTTTCTGATGTAACTTCTCAACACTGAATTCTTCCTTCCTGGGTCACATGCTTTCATGTTAGGAGAACTTGATATACGTTTTCCAAATCTTGCCTCATCTTTTTAGAAGAGAGCAATGATGGTGTAGCAAAGCCTTCCCATGCAGTGCACATAATGATGAAGTACCATAAGGAAGGATTATTTGGAGGCTTCTGAAATGAGGTTTACAAATATCTACCTATCGCTATACTTCAAGATTTGAACAAACTATAGATATCTTATGACACAATTTAGAATTAACTTAGAATTGATGTTAACATTAAGAACACAAAGAATATAGCATAAACTAACAAGAAGACAAAGTCATCAAAATCCCCCTCAATGGCAAAATACTCTTCATGTCTACGAGTTATGACTATGTCAAATGTGTTGGCAGGTATATAGCTAAGTGGAAGCAGAGTACTGAAAGGTTTCAAAGTTCTGCTCCAGAAAGGAGCACTACCACCAAATTCAGTTGAAGGCAAAATTGTTGCCATGGAAACGCAAAAAAACCCCATTTCATTCAGAAATCCAAAAGTAGCAAAAGGCACCAGTTCACCACTAGACCTACCTATGTATGAAATTTCGTGATGATACAGTGAACAGTTTTTAAGTTCTGCTCCGGAAAAGAGCACTACCACCAATTTGAGTCAAAATGAAACCTGTTGCCATGGAAACGCCAAAACATTTTTTATTCAGAAATCCAAAACCACCAAAAGGCACCAGTTCACTACCAGATCTATCTATGTGCCAAGTTTGGTGAAGAAACATTGAACAGTTTTAGAGTTCTGCTCCGGAAAAGAGCACTACCACCAATTTGAGTCAAAATGAAACTTGTTGCCATGGAAATGCAAAAAAATATTTTATTCAGAAATCCAAAACTACCAAAAGGCACCAGTAGACCACCAGATCTATCTATGTGCCAAGTTTGGTGAAGAAATATTGAACGGTTTTAGAGTTATGCTCCGGAAAAGATGTGCACGGACGGACGGACGCACGCATGCACACAGAATTGATGTTCCTGCCATATGCAAAGGCAATGCACAAGGTAAAGAACTGGTTGGGATGGCTTACAGTGAAGAGGACATGTGTTTACAATTAAACCATTTTTAGTTTGATATTATCCAAAATTCAGAATTATTGGCTGTGATGTAATAGAGGGAGGCAGAGTATTCAGAGTAATCAAAGCTAAATACAATGTGAAGAAAAACATACCCTCTGTCTTTCTTGGACCACAACCTGGATATGTTTTGTTTGTGCCTCTCTCTTTATTCTGAAACAATCGATTGCTGAATTTATTGCATACACTCTCAACCTTGAACACTGATGGATGCCTTTTACAAAAAGTTGGCAAATAATGTCAAAACAAAATCCCCATGGCCACCATATTATCAGATGTTGTAGTGATTCCCTGAGTGTGAGAGTCAGCAAATAGATTGATCTCTACAATGTAAGCAAACTCTGTGAGGGAAGCCCTATAACTGACAAGCATGAAATGATGGACTTCAATCCTTATCAGTGGATCATGGCACACCATCATAAGTTAGGCTATGTCCATTGAGCCGCCTTAGCCTACATGCACATGGGCTGGTTTGCTAAACGTCAACCTAGAAAATCAGCTTCTATAACCAGAACTTAATCAGGTTTACCTGACAACATCTTTGGCATTACAGTTTCTATATTTTGTACAGTAGTTTTGGCTTATGGTCCAGAATCTTGGCAAAACCATTACATGTGCTTGTCAAAATAATTACGTATTTACCCTATGACAATAAAATTAAACATATTTTTACCAGTATGATCCACGTGTTTCTTGGTAAGAACCTTCACAAATGATCTTACCATGAAAGTTCCTCTTTGTCCCTGTGTTTCTTGGTAAGAACCTTCACAAATGATCTGCGGCGTAAAACTAAACTCACTCACAAATGATCTTACCTTGAAAGCTCCTGTTTGTCCTTGTGTTTCTTGGCTAGAACCTTCATATGCTCCCTGTTCTGTTGGTCCATCTTCTTCTTGAGCTCCCCTACCTCTCGGTCATGCAGTTCCTCTAACCTCTTGTTGTGACCAGCCTGGCTGGTATCTAAGAGCTGCTGTAGTGAGCTGTATATCGCATCATGATGACGTAAATAAATGTTCATTTCTGCTTGGTAATGGTCTTTGCATAGCGCCACATAGATCTGAGTCTGGTTCTGTTTCAGTTCACGGATCTGGAAAGGTCAAGGTTATTGTATTTTGCACTAGCATTTTAGAGGAAAACCTTAAGCATATGGCTGTGCTGCAACAAGCCAGTGGTAAAGAAGCAATGTAACTGCCAAACTGTCATGGTCTTCTAACTAAACCCATGAGGCTCATATACATACATTTTAAACAATCGTTATTAGTTTGAGTGTAATACTATAAGGTTCTACTGGTAGATTATATATTTTGGAATTCTGATTCAAATTTAAGGTTAAAAATGGCATGATATCTAATTGTGCACTACAGGCTAATGGCATTAAATACTGAATACAATTATATACTAGCGACATTTGTGTCAGGATTGGAGAAACGACTGATTGATAAAATGAGCAGTATTTGTTGCCCTCTGTCCCAAGTCATCGAGTATGATCACCTGACCTACCTATTAAGACAAGCTTATGTTACTAGGGACTGACTCTAACCTGCAATCCCTACAGAAATCTTTGTTCCATTCAGTTTTGTTGCCTGACATTTAAGTGTAATACATAACATCATGACATATAGAAATCCTTATATTGTGTTTGAGGAGTGACCCACCTGCTGTTCTCTGTCCTTATCAAACTGTGTCTTTTCCTCGAAGCACTTGGCCTGGACCTCCCCGAGACCCTGCCCCATCTTCCCAGCTTTCTTGAGCAGCTTGCAGTGTGTCTTGTCCAGAGTCCGGGCAGCCTTCTCCTGACTGGAGGCCACCTTTTCCACTTGTTGGGCATGTTGGTCAATCATGTTCTCCTGGGCCTTCAAGAACAAGACAAATGGATGAGTAAATGTGGACACACTGCAGCATCACTGTAGTGGACACCAGAAACTGGCTTAACACTTTGTTCTCATGAATTGAACCTGGGCCTTTGGCTTTGTGAGTGAATGAGTGAACCTCTTGCATACCGAACCCAACAAGGGAGTTCAGATGCTTCTCATAATGGGCTTCATGCATAGGAATCTGAGAGTGTGTGAGCAAGATGGACTTAATGCCAATTTAATAATACTGCCATTGTACCAATAGTATTGTATCATTTGTATCTTGTGACATGGCTGCATGGTAATGGTTATCAACAAAGGTACAGTAAAATGTAATTTTGCATAAATCAACCTACTTTTTCATGTTTTTTCCGCAATGATTCCAGTTCCTTGTCCCGCTTCCCAGCAACCTTCAGATATGGTTTCTGCTGTTTCAGGGCAGACAAAGGGGTGGGTGTCAGAATTTCAGGATCTGAAATCAAAACATAATTCAGAGTAACATGTCTTCATTAGGTAAGGTCAGTCAGAGAGCAGAGTTGAGGTGGCTTTGTACTTAATCTGCTGTCCGGTCCTTGAAGCTAAGTGAAGTAACTGTCAGGTAATTGTCTCCCCTTAGACCACTAGACTACCAATACACCTGGAGCTAACATCCTGCCCGTTCAACAGAATGACTGTGGTACATTCGATCAGATCAGGTGAGTCTTGATAACACCCAATACCAAACTCTGTCAGTGCCGAGCATGAGATACTGAGGTTCTATTGTAATTGTGAATTAGGACAACCTCTCTGAAGACGCCTATCACTAAGTCTAATACATGCACTGAGATCTCTGCTGTTGGGCAGTGATGAAATCTCACATGATAAGCTGAGGACTGACACTAGTTCTTCCCCAGACACATAATCCCACACCTATTTCAGGTGACTCTTACAAGCCTACGGGGATCTGATTCTGAAGGAACTTCCTTTTCATCACAAGTCAACATTATGACTCTTGTTAACTTACCATTGAGTTTTGTTGTCTGGGCCACAGAGACTGAGGATGTCCCGTTCTCAACTCCTGGGTGAGAGGAGGGTATACGAGTGAGTGCACTGGGTGCTGGAACACATTAATGCAGAGTGGTCATGATAGACAATGGAGGACTTGTTGGCCCAAAAATGACTTGCCATGTATGAAAAGTAAACTCGCACAAACAGTGCCTGAGTGAATGTTATTTTACACTACATACAACAATATTTCCAGCTATGACAACTGTGCGTAAATTGTGAGTTTGAGTCTGAATCTGATCTTTTTCATGAAGAGCAAACACTTAAACTACCTCGCTACCCGACAACTCTCATTCTCAACTCTCACTGGCGAATCCTGCATTATCCTGAAAATGGCACCACCTCAATACGGTATGACAAAAAGTATGAATGACTGAAGCTCACCTGGACTGCCACTTCCCTGGCTAGCTCCAGACTGTGTACTCTCCTGCTTGACCAGTGTCCTTTCAGGAACTGTCTGAGGAATCTGTTTACCGATCTGTGACGCTGAAGTGCCAGTCTTTACGCTTGAATTGGTCACACTTTTCCTACTCAGTATTGAGTCTACACGCTGTGGTCCTTTCTCGGGAACATCTTGTGTTCCTTCCTAAAAACAGAGATGTTTGCAAGTACAATAACAAATCGTAAGTACAATGGAAAAAGTATCATGAGATAAACTTTGTAAACAATGAATATTGTTTTTATTTCATTGGAAAACAATGACTTTAAACATACTGAAGATTATGGTTATCTGTTCACAATGTCAATAAACACTTATATATTACATCAAATGGTCTTTTCCATACAACTAGTCCTATCTACATCAAACAACTGAATACAATGATTACCGGTAAGTGTTTTTTTGTCCTCACATTTAAAAGAGATCCAGAATTTGGTTCTAGGCTAGAAGTAACTAGTCATGCTTATCCAGGTAGCTATTTCATGCTAAGAAAGCTACCTAGGATTAAATGGTGTTATATCGTAATAAAACACAGGGAGAGATGACAAAGGGTGTTATTACACTTGCCTATATCATGTATTATGACAGGCATGTGAAGGATGTCAGACAGGTGCTACATTATGTCTGGGAGGGGTATTGGGCAGAATTACAGATATATCCAGTAGGGGTGTTGGGCAGTATTACAGATATATCCAGTGAGGGTGTTGGGCAGTATTACAGATATATCCAGTGAGGGGTGTTGGGCAGTATTACAGATATATCCAGTAGGGGTGTTGGGCAGTATTACAGATATATCCAGTGAGGGTGTTGGGCAGTATTACAGATATATCCAGTAGGGGTGTTGGGCAGTATTACAGATATATCCAGTGAGGGTGTTGGGCAGTATTACAGATATATCCAGTAGGGGTGTTGGGCAGTATTACAGATATATCCAGTGAGGGTGTTGGGCAGTATTACAGATATATCCAGTAGGGTGTTGGGCAGTATTACAGATATATCCAGTAGGGTGTTGGGCAGTATTACAGATATATCCAGTAGGGTGTTGGGCAGTATTACAGTATCCAGCAGCATTACAGATATTACAGATATATCCAGTGAGGGTGTTGGGCAGTATTACAGATATATCCAGTAGGGTGTTGGGCACAGTATTACAGATATATCAGTAGGGTGTTGGGCAGTATTACAGATATATCCAGTAGGGGTGTTGGGCAGTATTACAGATATATCCAGTGAGGGTGTTGGGCAGTATTACAGATATATCCAGTGAGGGTGTTGGGCAGTATTACAGATATATCCAGTAGGGGTGTTGGGCAGTATTACAGATATATCCAGTGAGGGGTGTGTTGGGCAGGTATAACAGATATAGATTACATGTTGGGCAGTATTACAGATATATATCCAGTCCAGATAAGATAAGGGTATTTACAGATATATTCAGTGAGGGGTGTCGGGCAGTATTACAGATATATTCAGTAGGGGTGTTGGGCACTATTACAGATATATCCAGTGAGGGTGTTGGGCAGTATTACAGCTATATCCAGTGAGGGGTGTTGTACAGTATTACAGATATATCCAGTGAGGGGAGTTGGGCAGTATTACAGATATATCCAGTGAAGGGGGGTTGGAAAGTATTACAGATATATCCAGTAGGGGTGTTGGACAGTATAACAGATATATCCAGTGAGGGTGTTGGGCAGTATTACAGATATATCCAGAAGGGGTGTTGGGCAGTATTACAGATATATCCAGTGAGGGTGTTGGGCAGTATTACAGATATATCCAGTAGGGGTGTTGGGCAGTATTACAGATATATCCAGTAGGGGTGTTGGGCAGTATTACAGATATATCCAGTAGGGGTGTTGGGCAGTTGGGCAGTATTACAGATATATCCAGTGAGAGTGTTGGGCAGTATTACAGATATATCCAGTGAGGGTGTTGGGCAGTATTACAGATATATCCAGTGAGGGTGTTGGGCAGTATTACAGATATATCCAGTGAGGGGTGTTGGACAGTATTACAGATATATCCAGTAGGGGTGTTGGGCAGTATTACAGATATATCCAGTGAGGGTGTTGGGCAGTATTACAGATATATTCAGTGAGGGGTGTTGGGCAGTATTACAGATATATCCAGTAGGGGTGTTGGGCAGTATTACAGATATATCCAGTGAGGGTGTTGGGCAGTATTACAGATATATCCAGTGAGGGGTGTTGGACAGTATTACAGATATATCCAGTGAGGGGTGTTGGACAGTATTACAGATATATCCAGTGAGGGGTATTACAGATATATCCAGTGAGGGGAGTTGGGCAGTATTACAGATATATCCAGTGAGGGGTGTTGGACAGTATTACAGATATATCCAGTAGGGGTGTTGGGCAGTATTACAGATATATCCAGTAGGGGTGTTGGACAGTATAACAGATATATCCAGTGAGGGTGTTGGGCAGTATTACAGATATATCCAGTAGGGGTGTTGGGCAGTATAACAGATATATCCAGTGAGGGGTGTTGGGCAGTATTACAGATATATCCAGTGAGGGGTGTTGGGCAGTATTACAGATATATCCAGTGAGGGTGTTGGGCAGAATTACGGATATATCCATTGAGGGGTGGGCAAAATTACAGATACAACAAGGGTGGGGTACTACAGATATGTCAGGGAATTTATTTGGGCAGTGCCACTGCAAGATAATGTCTATGTCAGGCTGTGAAATGCCATCAATATGAGGAACACTCCGAGCCATCAAAGCATATACCTTCAGCTACACATTTTTACATATTACAACATTAGTCTACAACTCCAGAGGAAGTACATAATTCAAGCAGTTATACCTTGAAACAATATTTGATTATATCATGTCCTCCAGTCATTGTGGCCATCAAATCTCCAATTCTGTTACCTTTGCACTGGTTATTGTACATCCAGTCTTTATCCTTATGTGTATTGAGGGGCAACCTTATAACCAATGGCTAAGGCCTCAGTTTATTACAAAGTGGTCAAGGCAAACTAAGTGAGTATTGTCAGCAGAGTGAACAACAGAAGGGTCTTTTGAATTTTATGCAATTTCAGCTTGAACTTATGAAAGGATTAGTGCTTTAATTATTTCTCATAATGAAAATGAAAGAGTTACTCCCATATATCACAGAACTATGTCACCAGACCTACTTGGACAAAAACACATATTTTCATATGCTATATCTAGTTTGAAATACCATGTAATACAAACTTCCCATGGTGAAGCAAGTCCCTGACTTACAGTGGGTGTACTAAGATATAATACTCAGATATCAATGCTATAGACAGTCAAATGTATGTGTGTACATTCAAATGACCTTGAATCTAGAACAGATGGAGTCACAAGGACTATTTGTAACAACAATTCTCAATGTTGAAACAACACTTGAACAACAGTTTTAGGTTTAACCATTACAAAAACTTCCAAATATAACATGCATACACTTATTGATAAAACACAACAAAGTTTAACACACATTTGGCATCTATAACATGTATATTTCAACAGGTGACACACAGACTGTTAAAATATTTGTAACAAACAACATACGAGTTGATATTTAGCTCGAATGGTGTGTTTAACACCAGTAATAGAATGATCTACCTAGGAGAAACATACCGGACACACTACAGAAACACACAATTCCACCTGTCCATAGTAAACACTACTCTAATCTCTCTTCTAGTAAACTGACATACAAAACTCACAAACATGGTGCTTTGGGATTATTGTCGAGAAAAAAACCACATCAATATTTAGAAAAGCATTTTGCTTGTGACTTACAATTCACAAACATTGTGTACATGTTGCAAAAACACAACAAATATTGTACGAAGATGACATGTTGCCAGTGCATCGCCCAACATATATGATTCAGTCCATGTTGACAGGTTAATGACATGCACCAAAATGGTCTATACATCTGGCTGCCAACACCATGTAGTCGTCTCATCATGTGTTCCTGCTGACGTGGTGACTGAACGCTGTTGATGCTGGTGAAGTGATTGTGAGCATCCAGTTGTGCAGATGGAGATGGCACAGGTGATGGTCATCTTGCAGGGTGGTCACTCTTTGACTCCTTGGACTGTCAGACTGTATGGCCTGTCTGGTTAATGCATCTCATTAGTCTGCCTTGTACAGCTGAACATTTGGGCAATATGGTTGTTTGAAGTCCCATTCTGCAACATTCCAGTGGCTGGTTCTTGCTCGGCTGCTGATTTTCTTGGCATTTTGATGTGTGCCTTACTACAGCTATACTACCAATAACATTGGCAACAGGTACACAATGTTTGTCACTTGTAAGTCGCAATCATAACACTTTTCAAAATATTTACATTTGTTTTGGAACTTAATCACTAACCACCAGGAGGCTACTTACTTTTGTATGCCAGTTTATACAGTCTACACTAGTACCTAATCTGCGATATTCGCCTCAGTACATACATATCAATGTACAACTAGAACAAGCTATCCCTCATAAATCTATGAAAGGAGGCCAGGGTCTTTACATTATGGCTGACAGTTCATTTCAATAACATTCATACAAATTATAATTCAGTGTGTTAAAGGACTTAAACTCAGCATTTTGGTACGGCCAACCACTAGGCTATCCATCCTACTGCCCTACTTGCCACTAGGATGTAATCTAGCGCGCTGATGTATTTACAGAATGATGTTATATAACAGTAGTTAACAGTATTACTACATATGAAAGAATGGCCCAGAGAAATGCATGTTCCAGATAGTTACCACTGGTAAAAACCCACAAACAATGGTACGGTTCTGGCAAACCAAGAAACTAACTGAGGAGGAATCTGGGATTTGAATTCTCCATCCTGGGATTTAGAATGGTCAAGGGACACAACTCTGTACAGCTGCATGCAGCACCAATCATGGTGAGTAAACAATGTTTAATCATCATGTAGTGCTTTGTAGTTATTTAACTTGAGTATTCTTTAAGAATGCAGATATTAATATTTGGGAATGTCTACAGTCCATTCACATAACATAGGATAATATTATGATGTTCATCATGCATAACACGGTTTATCCAGCCTCATGTAAGAATGTCGAGTTTTGATTGGTTCACGTGACTCTGATAAAATACCATGTACACCTGGCATGATCCGCAAGCAGGGAGTACAAAAGTCATATTATCCTGCCACACCTCGGTGACCACGCTAAGTGAGAAAAGCGTGCATCGCCAAGCCTTTTTTAACGTGCACTGCATTGAGGTCAATCGATCAGCTGTTGTCAACATGGCAGCAAGGAAACGTTTTGCCACAACAACTGAGAATGAAACTGAAGCAAAACGTTCGGCTAGATAAATGCGTTATCACATTGTGTCAAGGGAAATACGGGGTTTTATCATTCCATTGTGAGGTTCACAACCTTACTCAGGACTGATAAAACCCCGTATTTCCCGAGACACGATGTGATAACTTATAATATCGTGGGCCAGTGTGTGACAACGTAAGATGATCCATGTGTCTCTTGTACACATAATCATATGCAGCATGTGAACAGATGGGGGTTAATATGTTGGGCTGGGGTAAAGGGTTGCATATACCTCAGGGTATATCATTCCTTGTGTACACACAAGACTCTGTAATTGCACATGCATACAATGAAAACATCACTTTATAATGATTGGTCAGATGGACAAACAGAAGGTTTTGAAAGAATTTATAGAATTTCCTCTACATATGAGATATATTCCTTGTACATCATTTAATATCTGCAAAAAGTCATAAGTATAATACTATAAGTAACCTTCAGAATGGAAGCAATAACTGAATCAACTGATATACAAATCCTCAAAAGACAGTACTCACTGAGCTATTGTGGTTTACCAATTTTACAGTTTACTTATTTTTGTAAAAGGCCAATGCAAAATATATTGTAAATCATGACTATATAAAACCAATGAATGAGTTGAAAAATCCTTAGTTGTCCTTAGAGGAGTAGTTTGTAGTTCATATGAAACCCATATAGCACAAGTTATTCTTTTGGCAAAATAACATACACTCAAAACATAAAACTCTGCCTTTTGGATTTACCAATAAAGTTGACAATACAGGCAGGAAAACATATTTACATCAAACTGTAAGACCAAGAGGAGGAAACTCTTCCTTGACAGAATTACTTCACTTCTCATGTCAATCTATTTACCTTTCATATTACTGCCCTTTGCAAACAGATGAGGTATGAAGGCATTTTGATAATTTTAGAGAAAATTTATCCCACATTGTAAGCATTTACTGTATCAGATACATAAACAAAGTTATAGAAAATAAACTGTGCTTGACTGCACCAGTTTGTTTCGGTAATAAATTTAAAAATTCTATAAACTATTTCAACCCTTCCTTTGTGTCCACTTCCAACAATCTGCATGACAGAAAAAACATGACACACATGTCCAGGCCAACTAGCACTTACGTCCAACGGCTCATCCTAATAGACAAGAGGATAAACAGGAATTAATTGAAAAGAACCTGATTAACAAAATCTGACTTAACTCATAAACAATTTGAAAATAAAGTGGAAAGAGCAAATTAACTTTGACAGTGCAAATGTTTTCAATTTATAAGTGAGACAACTGTCAGCAACAAATACGTGCAAAGTCATTCATCTTCTCACAGATTTCTTCATGCCGTGTTTGAGCTAGGTACCCACGTTGTAGGGTCATTCTGTCAATATGCTGCCAAAAGAACACTGACTTTTTATACTACAAGTAGTTGTAACTATAGTCCTGTGTTTCATACAATAGGGGGTGGCTGCAGTGTTTCACTGTGCTACATAATAAGTAGTGGTGGCCATGTCTCCATGTTTGGTATCTGACAGAACTGGTATTGGAGGAAAACCAAGTTCTGTGGATAGTCAACTTCTTTATCGCAATGAGTGTGACGTTTCGGTTTAGGAACTAACACCGTTATCAAGCAAGTAATGGTATTGGAGGCCATGTTTCAAGAATTAACAGGTTTCAATGTTTTGTACTACATTGTATAATGAGCGTATGCTGCAATCTGATGATTCATATGGGATTCATGGGCTGGAAGTATCCTGGACTATTCACTGAGCATGAACAATTTACTGGATAAGTGACTGTTTTCTAAAAAACAATTATGCCGTTTGTTTTAGGGAAATGGCTACTATCTCAACCGAATATTAAAGAGTTTCATTTTCATTTTTTCAATATTCTGTGCATATTCAAGTTCAAGTATTGTAGGATGATGTGATGTCATCTTTTGTACACACCCGGTCAAGAGGTATTTCTCAAGCCTATCTGTAGGATGATGTGATGTCATCTTTTGTACACACCCGGTCAAGAGGTATTTCTCAAGCCTATCTGTAGGATGATGTGATGTCATCTTTTGTACACACCCTGTCAAGAGGTATTTCTCAAGCCTATCTGTAGGATGATGTGATGTCATCTTTTGTACACACCCTGTCAAGAGGTATTTCTCAAGCCTATCTGTAGGATGATGTGATGTCATCTTTTGTACACACCCTGTCAAGAGGTATTTGTCAAGCCCATCTGTAGGATGGTAAAACGCTGTGGGGCATGTGTTATACTGATGATCAATATTCGGTGGTCTGTCCATCAGGATTTGCTGTTCCTTTTCTGTGTAAACAAAGCTTGATGCTGCGCTAGTAACAGTTGCTACGGGCACTTGGGAAGTGGCAAGGCTTATATAAAAACTGGATCTATGAATTGTGTCACCCTTTCTAGGGTGACTTCATGTTGACATTTTGACTACCATTTTGAATGGATAATTTTCACTAGTGAAATGTTTAATTACCTAGCTATGATTAATTAGTTTTGCCACCAAGAAACAGGCAGTCTCCCTGTCTGGGTTAAAAGTCCATGTTTCACACTAGCTCAAACACTGATCATGCAAAACCAGTGTGCATAATGAAATAATTCCAATACATTTTTCAGATCAAGATGTGTCTTTTGCAAAGAAGAGACTATTCTAAAGGTCTGGTCATACATTAAAACTGCAATAATCATGAAATGATGCAGCAAGTATTTTAAAAATACAGAACACCAAAAGAAGATAGCTGATAGACAAATGCTACTCCCACTGTATATATTTGGGTTGAGTGCATCAAAACACTTATGAAGCACATGTGACCTGGATACTGTACTCCCTGTTAAAAGCTTCATCAACAAAATCGATCAAAAACATTTTTTTTAAGGAAAGTGCATGAAATAGTCTTTTACAAGCGAAGTTTGTGAAAGTATTTTGACTTACACCGTCATCGTCAAACAGTACAGCCATCTGCTGGGCATGTTTCTCTGCCATGAGTTGTTTCGACAAGTACTCGCGTGGGTTGGACAATGCATCGGCAAAGCCTGAAATTCAGCAAGTTGGAATAATTGGTTTGTATCACAGTATGGCAATCTATAAATGTGGAGAACTCAGTGTGGAGCATGCTGTACAGACCCCCTAAAAATGTACAGTGTTGATGGATCAAGGTGCCATTGTACAAAGTGATCTTAAGGCTAAGGTGATCGCACTTCCCATAACTTACAGAGGCTCTGGACTGTCATAGCAGTAAGGTTGATTTGTACAGTGGCACCAAGGGATCATTATTACATCTGGGTTTCCAACCCAAGTTGAGCTGCTCCCTAGCTAAATGATGAAGTTCTCTTGTGATGACTTAAGCTACTTGCCCAACAACTGTTTCCAAAGTCTGGATAAAATTCCCTCTTTTACATACATTAATAGGAAAAAGGGAGAACACTGACAGACATGGAAATTACCCATCCATGTACAATCAATACTTAGACACCATTTTTGCCATATTATACATGTCATGTTGCAGGTCTAAATTATTCCACTCAGTAATCCTCCCAGGCATGTTGGAAACAGAATATGCCATACCAGCAAATGCATCAGGAACATAGTCATTGACGCTGAGGTGAACAAACAAAGTCTGTAACGGCAGTGGCTGGTTACATTCATTACGGAGTGGAATATGGCGGTAACCTGAAATCAGGAACAAGATGGGTGAGTGAATGAATCTTGTACGGCATTGACAATCGACAACAATAGTGTACCCACATCATACCAGCTTAATAGTGGTTGATAGCAATAGTGTATTGCAAAAGTTAAAAATCAGCAATATCACACAGTAGCAGACATCAGTTAACAACAGTTATCATTGAGCATAACCCATAGAATACACCTCTATTACATGCAAACATACTAACCTGGTCGTAGTCCTTCAACAGGTAAAACTCGATGTCCAATTAATTTCCCTGTTTCTTCAAACACACCAATACGGATAGTCGCCAAGTTTGGCAATACCACCTGAAATCACATGATCAAACTCAAGTTTTACAAGCACAACCGTCCTTTCATCCAGTAAGTTGGATTCTTGTCTTCATGGCTATTATTAATGCAAACGAAAATGTTTATATACCACCACTGCCACCTACCTACCACATTTTTAAACAATATTAGTGTTATATAATATTCCATCATCAAACACAAAAATCACCTACCCTATAAATTGCAATTCAGAAATAAATATTTGTAGTTTTTTTTATGAAAATGGGATAGATGGAGTTCATCTTGCAGAAGTGAAAAACAATATGACATTTACAACAAATTTACCTTTTTGAAAACAAATGCCTCTTCACCATAGACAGGGTTAATGCCGTTAGCTGGAATGGTTTTTGTTCGGAACTTCTTTCGGACAGTGTCTGTCGGCAGTCCATACATGTCCACTTCTACATATGTGCCCACTTTCTTGTCTGACAGAAACTGTCCTGAGATTACCTGATAACATATGATGTAGTGAATGAGGTTATGATTGTACAGCAATGGGACACGTACAAAAAGGACTTGCTCAGACGCCAAGAATGGTAACCATGTATTACCTTCATGCTAACAGTGCCTGCGACAATCCCGTCCACTGTTGACTCCGCAAAGGGGTCAAAGTGGCGATCTTTTCGACGCATGAAGTCTGGTTTGAGTATGTATCCAGATCTACCATTATATTCAAATGTTCCCATATTCAACTGCATCGGGAGATCTGCAATAACAACCAGAATACAATACCGGTTAGCGAAACATATCAATGGTTCACTTCAAGCAATGCTATTATAAATCGATAAATGCATTCACCAACCTCAAACAATAACAAGTAGGAACATATTTTTCTTTCTGATCAAGACAAAATATGTGAAATTATAAAATTTAGAAAAGATATTTTGGTCAATGATAGAACATACTATTTAATATCAATCACATTTGTTCATCTATGCATTAAAGGGAGACTACTCTCATTCCACTCTCTGTTTAGCATACATTGTGTTCAAGGGCAAGAGTGTCTCATGATATTTGTATCAATATTTGAAAAAGAAAACAGCAATCTTCATTTTATCACCTATCAAACAAGAAAATATTAACGTCTGTATTTTGTCAAGAAACTGAGGTGTTATCCAGTTACTCTTTCGATGATATATTTAGGACCACATCAAACCAGCTACACCAAGAAACCTTACCCAGAGTTTGAAAGTTCAGTGCCACAAGCTGACAGCCTGCATTCCAGAAAATCTGAAAGTAAACATTATCTGTACAATAAAGGCCCTGAATTCGATTCCTGCCTGTCAGCAATTGTCATGATGGTTGATCCACATTACAATAAGCCTGGTGTTAATGAACCTCCTTTTATAACTTGAAGCATTTCTTTCCATAATATTACAGGTATTACTATGTCGCAGCAAAGTTTTGTTGATAGAAACAATGTAATATCTAAGCAGTCAATGCAAGTGTACAAGTTTACACTTGGGGTAAGGGGAGAGAAGAGTTATGGTTGATACTCATGGCAAGGGTACTGTACTGTATGGCTGATACCTGTAGCAAGGAGACTGTACAGGGTGTAAGGTTCATACCTATAGCAAGGAGACTGTACAGGGTAGTAAGGTTCATACCTGTAGCAAGGAGACTGTACAGGGTGTAAGGTTATACCTGTAGCAAGGAGACTGTACAGGGTGTAAGGTTCATACCTGTAGCAAGGAGGCTGTACAGGGTGTAAGGTTCATACCTGTGGCATGAAGTTGCTGGAGTCCACTCGAGTTCCTTTTGGGTAGATTCGACTTAACTGGCGTTTGTTGTAGCTTTATTGAGTTAAAGAATGTCAGAACAAACTTTATAAGCTAGATATTAGCTGGAAATGAGTGACAACTTAACCCTACATTCATCCTGAAGAATAAGATAAAATCAATTTTCATAGATGCCAGTGCTCTATTTAGAGGTTTAACCCACTTTTTCAATATTGCTTTCAGATTGGGCCTGGCCAAACAAAAGAGAAGTGGAACAAAACATTCTAGAAATACTAATATTCAGCCAAATGACTGCTTCTTCAATTACATCTTTTCTCCTACATTTCTAACCAGGATTCTTCTGAAATAATCTCAGTCTTGTTACCAAGGCTGTACATTAGAAATAACTTTTAACAATATTTCAACATTTGTTTGCAAGCACGACAGACTGTAGATAAGGATACTTGACAAATTCCACTGGGTACTGATTCAGCAAACTTGCAGCTTGTGTCTCCACAAATGATGAGATTTCGTAGCTTCTATCACGCTCTGAAACAAATGTAGAATATTTTTAAGTCAAGCAAAGGAATACCGGTACATGTTCCCACCCGACTGCAGCTGACCAGGTCACCCCCTGGGGCCCCGGATGTTGTTGATTGACGTATGTGTGGATGAACATGCACATGATGGAGGTAACTGAGAAGCAGCATCTTTCTCCAGGAACTTGCATCTTGTAATTTACGAAAGGTATTGGCAGGTGAAGAACATTAAATGCAGAATAAAATTTGCTGTTTGAACTCACTAGATATACCATTCATCAAAAACGGTATTGTGATATGTATCATGGAAAGAATGAATCTCAATTTACAGACAACCAGAAATACCACACAGCTTTCAATGGTATTGTCCTAACACTATTTCAGGAACACAACAACTCACTCTCTGATACATCAAAGGCGTGGAAATGCACTGGTTGTATGTAGTTGACGAGGAGTGACATCTCCATGGCAGCCTCAGCTTCCTTGCCTGCTGTACCCTGGGAAACATTAAATAATGCAACATCATCAGGTACCAGAGGATGTCCAACCATATTAAATGAGTAAATGTTGCTTTAAGCTGCATCAGTAGTATTGCAGCTATTGATGGCTAGCAAACATATTAAGAGTGAAATGTTAAATGCCACTTTTAGAGGAGAGGTGACATAGGGTTGATCACATTCAAGATTATTGTACTTGCATAGATTCTTGCATGCATGATTGACAGCTTGTAGTAGTATGCATATGCTGGTTTTATAAAGTTCTAGCAGCTATGCCACTTTTTACCATGAATATCCCATGGTAACAACAAAGTCTTTTGGCAAGATGCAGCCTGGGGATCAAACCAGTGGCCTTCTGCTCTCCAGGCAGACACTCTATCAACAAGACTAGGTCACTTATCATTTCATGAATTATTAATTATTTATGGATCACAAAGATTTACAAATACAATAAGTTTCAACGGTTTTTCATTTTTGCAATTAAGTCAGTAAATTTATTTCAGTAGTGACAAAAAATGATGTGCATGTATTGAGGAAGTAACCCAAAGACTTGTTTCACTTAACATTAAACATGTTATGAAACATTCATTAATTTACAGCATTGGTATCAGTGTCATTAAATAATACCTATACAATAGCGGTACAAGTGGTTGAAAACAGACCTTAATCAATAACCCCTGTTGCTGGAGTAAGAGGTTTCGAAACAGAAATATGGAACTACATTTCACTTACCCTGTCTTTTTTCACCCGCTGTCGTCTCTTCTTCTCTTCCTCTGATATCATATCAGATGGAATCTCATCTTCTTCTTCACTGTCCTCTGATTCAGATTCACTGTTGAAAATCTCCTCTTCGGCACCCCCTTCAGTCTTTGCCCCACCCTCTGATGGAGCCTCTGCCTTCTCCCCACCACCTTCACTAGAAACTGACAGAGTCTTTGTTATAGCTTTTGTTTCTGAGTCTTCTTGTGGTTTCTCTGCTGGGGGTATCTCTTCTGCAGCCTCTTCAGTGACTTTAGGTTTTGGCTCGGAGGTTTTCGCTGATACCTTGGTTGGAGTGGATTTTTCTTCTTCTGGTGCTATTAAGTACAAATCAAAACCAGTTTTAAGAACACAACTCATTAATCAGTGATTCTTCAAATAAGATAAAATGGGACAATTTTTGTGTGTTTCACATCTATCATGTTACCGTTATATAGACCATAAACATATTATTTTGGTCCAAACCCCTACTTTGCCTGTCCATGTTTTTCTATGTGGATATTCCAAAACCATTACCTAAAATTTTGGATAACCTTGATTCATTGATCGCAGTAATTATTGTGCATTCCCATAAATCAAATGTTGTATGATGTCACTCAGCGGTACTTTGGATGTACACACACTGCCACACCTCGATAACACTGAGACAAACTCACTAATACATAATTTTATGCATACAAAATGTCATAAACAAAAAAGCTACTGTTAACAAAATCTCAATGTCTGCTTGTCTCGGTCTCAAAAATCATAAATCATGTGGTGTAAAATGATGTCCTCTGTCAAAATTACATAACTATGGTAACCTTGTCAGGCCACTACTTATAGCTTTTTTGTTGTTTTCATAGGACAGACTACTTCACGACTCAGATACAAAACATATTCGCCTACAGCTTTAACTAAATCTTATTTAGAGTTAAAAACAATCAAGTTGCGGTTCATAAAGTGGCCCTGAACTTCTCTGTACTTGTGCAAAACACTGAGAGACAGACTTAAAGGGAAGATTGATATTGTCAAATCAAGTGCGACTCCGGGTTTTTATGTGGAGCTAGAAACTAGACTTATTGGCCATGTGACATATATGGCATCCATCGGATACAGATATACCAGGAAAGAGCTAATTCATTTAGCATCTGATTTTGCTTGTCAGTTGGGAAAACCCATGCTATATTTGTGAAATGGATATAAATATGGCAGTTTGGAGCGATGGCCAGAGTTGAAAGTTACGGGTGCCAAATCTTCCACTGAACCTTTTGCCAAAGCTAGTTCAGAGGAATGTGTCAGCAAGTATTTTGATGATCTGGCCATGATTATGGACAAGTACAATATAAAATAAAGTCTTGCATGACCTGAAGCAATCTAATGTAGACGAAAAAGGAATTGTGGGTGTAAGAAACTCCATGGCCTGCAAGATTTCTTCAGAGCGATCATTAGTCACAACAATATTGGGATGCAGAAACACTGTATTTTGTATTCATGTACACTAGAATGCAAGTGAATTTGAATGAGGTTTGTACAATGGGAAGTGAAAATGTAATTTTTAGAGTAAAATTGATATTTTATACTTTTCCTGACTCATGCTCTTTTGCTTGTCTTCTTCCTCTTGCGAACATAGTGGAACACTTGTATCTCCTTAATTGAAGCTCCCTTCAATGTAAAATCACTAATTAGTACTCACCAAGAGTTGCCTCCCTTTGCCTTTGGCGCGGGAAAGGCGGCGCCACCTTCTGGCCTCATGCTTCACTCTCTCCTGATATAGCGAGCCCAACACTTGAATTTACAGGGAAATCCAAAGTGTTATGTGGGGAGGATGGGAGGGCTTACCTCATGAGTCAGGATAAGTATAAAATATCAATTTTACTCTAAAAATTACATATTTTTCCTTATCCTGACTCATGCTCTTTTGCTTGTAGAATCCTACGGAAACGGAGGTGGGAAAGAACAGAATACTTTGGATTTATAAAATTAATTAGTGATTTATATATATATAACTGTAATAACCCCCCTAACGGGAACTTCATAATGGCACTGACTTAGGATAATTCCTCTACTATAAACCATAAGTTTATACATTGCCATAGATGGGGTATTACAATAATAATATACTATGATAATAGCAATAAAGATATAAAAGCGACTCCGACAAGGAGAAGCTATACAACTGAACATAATCATCAGTATAAGCTTAAAGCTGAGTAGACTTAAGCTAAGTATATAAATAGCCCTAAAACTCCGTAGAGTTATAAGCTAGATAATACTGGTATGAAATATACATAATAATCTCGTAAGACTATGTGTTAACGTCTACGAGGGACTGTCAACTGCTGTCTGAGGACCAAGGGACCGAAATGGTGAATACCTGAGACGTCCTCGGTGGTGATATCTCTCAGCTAGTGATTAGCAAACGCCATGTTAGATTTCCAAAAGCATCCTTCCATGATAGTATTTAATGAACAGTTACCGTGTAGAGCAAGTGTGGAAGCCAATGCCCTGATCTCATGGGGATTTGATGCTGCTGGAGGGTCGAGTCCTGCTGCCTTGTAGGCGCGAAGTATGACAGTTCTTATCCATATAGATATGGTGGTACGAGAGACTTCTGTCTGAGTTGTTGCCGATAAGGGGATGAATAATCGTTTGAGAAATCGTCGCCTTGTTTTGGAACGTCGTAAATAGATTTTGAGAGCTCTGACTGGGCATAGAGATAAGTCCAGTGTATCTTGAGATCCGAGAATCGAGGAGAGTGCAGGAATATGGAATAATCTGTCTGGTTGACCTGGCAATTGATTTTTGGCGATGAAATCCCATCTTAATCCCAGGTGCGCTGTGTTTTGATTGTCATCAAACTGTATCCTCTCATAATCGTGTGCGTGAATTTCTGACATCCTGGCTGCCGTGGCTAGGGATAACAGGAATAGCGTTTTTTGTGAGAGAAATTGAGAAGGTTGTCGGTTCCAACGGTTCATAAGCCTCACTTGTGAGGTGTTGGAGCACTATATTCAGATCCCAAGCTGGGGCGTGGAACTTCCGCCTCTGATCTTCCAATCGGAAAGCACGTAGTAAGGCCAGTAACTCTGGCGTCTTGGTTAGCTTGACACCCGTTCTCATAGTTATCACAGAACTAAGCGCGGCAAGATATGTTGACAATGTCGAGCCTTTTAAATGTTTGTTTTGGCGTAGGTAACACAAATAATCTGCCACTTGTGGATGTGTAGCATCTCTCGCTGTAAATCCCTTATTTGCTGCGTAATTTTCGAAACTGTGCCACTTGTCGTCGTACAAGTTACGTGTAGAATAGCGTAAGGCAAGCGTGACTGCTTTTGCCGCTCTGGTTGAATACCCTCTCTTGTTTAAACACATTTTAATACAGTCCATACGTGAAGTTGGAATACTTCTGGGCTTCCGTGCACCTGTTTGGTGTGTGGATGTACTAATAGATTCGAGCGCTTTGGTAGCTCTAGTGTTGGTTGTCCGATTTCTTGAATTAGAATGGGAAACCACGTTCTGGCTGGCCAGTAGGGCGTGACCAAAATCAGTTGGAGGCTCTGTGTTTGTCTGATTTTCTGTAACACTTGAGGGATTATCGCTGGCGGCGGAAACGCCTATGCATTGAGGCCTTCCCAGGATATGCTTAGAGCGTCCGTTGCCCATGCTTGTGGGTCCGGGACTGGTGATACGAATGTCGGTAGCTGATTGTTGAAGCGAGTGGCGAATAGATCTACTAGCGGAGCTCCTATTTGCTTGATAATCTGTGCAAAAATTTCTGTATGGAGCATCCATTCTGTCGGTGACGGTAGATGTGGCCGAGAGAGTGCGTCTGCTAGTACATTCTTGGCTCCCGGGAATGTGACATGCTCTGACATGTAAGTTGAGATCGTCGATTAGATCGAACAGTTGAAAGCATAAAGTCAATAGGTTCAGTGATCTCGTTGAGCCTTGTTTGTTCACATAAAACGCCACTGTCGAGTTGTCGGTATGAATCATCAGATGCATTTTGTAGAATGGTGCTCCAATGAAGTATGGCGTTGATTACCGCTTTCATCTCTAACATGTTTATATGGAGCTTGCTTTCTTGCTGATTCCATAACCCTGAAGCCGTCCGGTTGGCGAGATGAGCTCCCAAGCCTGGAGTGACGCCAGCGTCTACATATAGATGGGTTTTGAATTCGGCTCTGTTAAACAAATACCTTCCGCGAGACATTCGACCTCCTGGTCCACCATAGTAGATGAGGTCTGAGGTGTTTCGGTAGACTGAATGGTTGTAGGTCATCGAGATGAGCATTGATGAAGACCTGTAACGGACGTAACTGTAGTCTGCCTCTGACTGTCATGTCTTGGCTGACGTGAGGAGACCCAACAGGCTCTGCCAATGTCGTAGTGGTAACGGAGAGAGTAGGGCTAGAGGAATGGTCTGTTGGATCTTGAGCCATCGGTCTTCTGAATGCGACGATACGGTTGAGAGTCGTGATAAATCGAACGCCTAGAAATTGCAGATCTTGCGATGGTACTAGGTCCGACTTGAGTACGTTTACTAACCATCCTAGCTGTGTTAGTAGCTTTATGATGTAGTTTAACTGTAGTTTGAGACGCTGTGGATCTTGATCTACTTGTATCCCGTCGTCGAGGTAGAACGCACTGCGTAGCCCTAGACGATGTAGATAGGTAACGATAGGTTTCGTTATTCTTGTGAATAGCCAGGGGGCGCCGATGATATTCCGAATGGGAGTACTTTCCATTGGTAATGAAGCCCGTCTAGTGTAAATCGTAGGTATTTCCTGGATTCGGGATGTATCGGGATGTGTAGATATGCGTCTTGCAGATCTATACTGGCCATGTAATCCATGGGACGAATCAACTGCCGTAACTGAGGTAGATGTATCATGCGAAACGTTGGCGGTTTGCGTAGATAATGTCTGTTGAATATGCTCATGTTGTAAATGAGTCTGTATTTCTCCTTGGAGTTTTTCTTGGGTACTAGGAAAACTGGGGAGTAGAAGCCTGATTTGACGTTTACTTGATCTAGTACTTCTATGGCCTGCTTGGTTAAGAGCGATGTAACAGCCTCTCTTAACTTTGGTAGTTGTTGTGCCTGGAAGTCGAACTTGTGAGGGTTGACTGTCAGCGGAGGCGTGGCCTGTAGTGGGATACGATATCCGTGTTGAAGAATGTTGGAGACATAAGGGTCTTGTAACATTCCCCAGTTCTCCCAGTGCAGTTGAAGGCGTCCACCCACTTGTGACGGTTGTACTGGAACGGCTGGGGGTGGAAGACTCCAGTCGTTCCGAACCTGTCTTTCATCGTTTATAGTTGCGGGAACCTCTGGGTGCCCTGCCTCTTCCTGATCCTCCTCTGTAGTTGCCATATGGGCGTACGAAAAGAATCTTTTCCCCTGGAGCTGGCCATCTTCCTATCCGTGCTCTCTGTAATCCAGTGAATTTAGATTTCCCTGAATATCTTTGTGAAGTCTGCCTGATGACGGCTGGCTAGCGTGTCCATCGACTTAATCATAAGGACTTCTCTAGAATCCTTAGTGACTTCCTTGGAGACTTTCTCTATTCCTCCGTCAAAGATGGATGGGGAGGACCACGGGGCTGTATAGAGTGGAGCTGTAACCTGCTCACCCCAGCTGCAGGAAGCGAGGAGGCCTTGACGACGAGCCAAGGTTAAGCTGCTGAGACTGATGTGAGATGATCCGTTAGGAACTGCTGGTCCTTCTTTTGCATCAGTAGGGCCGAGTAGATCATCCTATCATCTTCAGAAGTCGTGTCACGAAATCTGGTGATAAGAGTCTCATTGATCGTTCTAGATCTATTAAGGCCAAAGAACATGCGTCTCGTCATGGTTTCTATCTGCACCAGCTTGCGATCGTCAATCTTATAGTTCTTATTCTTGACATCGCTGATCATCTTGTAATTGTCATCGATGTCTTGTGCCTTGAGGAAGGGGTCCATATTATGAGTTGAAAACTTCTTAGCGTGAAAGTTCGGTAGGTGTGGCGTCTGAACTTTCGTGGCTTTATGGAAGGCTGTGTCCAGATTCTGTGGCACCGCAGCAATCGGGTCGATTGGAGGTAAGGTGACGGCGTCTGCATCGTCCTCCTTCATCAGGTAAGTATGCGCCGAGTTACCACTCTTGGAAGGTGAAGAAAGGTCTAGGTTGTTTACCATCCAATATCGTATCTCAGCGTCTGAGAAAATGATGCCTCCATCATCTTCTACCCCAGGATCGCTGATGAGAGGTTGATGCTCTTCAGATGGTGGACTGTGTGCTTCTACCACTGTACCGGGTGACGTTAGGGGAGACCTGACTGTGGACTTCTGTGAAGACTTGTGTGGTGACCTGCGAGGAGATCGACGTGGTGATGTACGAGGAGATCGGTGCGGTGAACGGCGAGGTGATCGGCATGGAGAATGGCGAGGGGATCGTCTTGGTGAACGTCCTGACGATCTGCGTCTATGGGTTGACCTTCACGGAGATCTGTGAGGTGAATGCTGATAGCTTCGCGAAGCTCTTGAGGAATCCCTCGATGTCCTTCTGGCCGAAGATGATTTGGAGCCTGATAAAGGTGCCGTTCACGAAGGCCATCGCGAAGCTTCCTCTGCGTCCGGTTCTGGGGAACGGCGACTTGACCTTCGCGAAGGCTTTCGTGAAGTCTGGTGGTCCGAGTCCGCATCTAAGGATGAAGCCGAGGTAGGTGATGATCTATCCCGCCTTCGCGAAGGCTGTACATCTGGGTCCTTCGTCGAGGTGGTCTGTGACTTCCTTCGCGAAGGTGGCTTCGTCGTGGCTGCTACGTTGACGGGGGGTCCCTCTGGGGTGTCGTCTACGTTGGAGCCTGGGCTGGTTGTCTCTCCAGTCTGTAGTGGTCCTCCATCATGATCATGATTTGCCGCATCAGTTCATCTGGGACGGTCTGCGACGATGTAGTCGGTGCCCTCTCTGCGATGCTAGCGGCGGGGCCCTCAGGGAGATCGTCCGACAGCAGTGTAGACACATCAGGCTGCATGGCGATCTCTGCTGACGTCACTGTAGCTGTCACCGGTCGTCTCTTGTGGCGTAGGTCGGGGATGATGATCGGTTGATCATCGTAGAGGCCCAGTTCAGCGGCTGGAACAATCTCGGCTGAGAAGGTTCTTGCATCTTCGTAGACTTTCCCTTGGAGGTAGATGCTGCCCTGGGGGTACGGAGTCTGCGTTGAGTAGACGTCGAGGCCCTCTTAGACTTTGGCTGCGATGACGAGATGTCTGGGGAAGCAGGGCGCTTCTTGGAGGCGGACTGCATCCCATGCCCTCCTCGAGGAAACTCTAGCGGAACACCAGGCGGGAGGGTCGACCAACAGCAGCTGACTGGCTAGGGGTTCCGATGTATCGGCCATGTCTAACCCTTGTTTGCGTGACCTATCTGCTGCACGTCTCAAGACGCAAAGATGATATTTATTAAAAGCAGAATTAGATAGATTAATACAGTAACTGCAACATGAATCAAACGCACAAGGCGTAGAACAGCTAGGGCATATTACATGCGGGTCAGCAGCCGAAAAATGTAATCAACAAATAGTACAGATTTTCATCAACGTAAACTAGCTGAACAATCACGAACTCCCGTGAATAAACAGTAGAAATACGAGTAATTATCAATACATATTAATGAAGGATACTAGCTATACCTCTATAGTAACCTATAGGAGGTAACTAACTAAGAATAACCAAAGGATATAGTGTGTAAGGAGACACAGGCGCTCTCACATCCTGCTCACTGGGCGAAGAAGGAGAGAGTGAAGCATGAGGCCAGAAGGTGGCGCCGCCTTTCACGCGCAAAGGCAAAGGGAGGCAACTCTTGGTGAGTACTAATTAGTGATTTTACATTGAAGGGAGCTTCAATTAAGGAGATACAAGTGTTCCACTATGTTCGCAAGAGGAAGAAGACAAGCAAAAGAGCATGAGTCAGGATAAGGAAAAATAAACATTTCTGGAATGGGGTGGTGACATTGCATAATTTCAAGATTATCTGTACAAGCACTTCCTTTGATGTGCAACCCCGGCACAAGTTGCCACAAGTCACAAGTACCTGTTGCTAACCATATGCAATGCCAACCAACCCTAATTTCTCTGCAATTACATCCAGGAATTAAGGTTATGCAAGAGTACACATTTCTACAGTGGTTTCATAGGAGCAGAAGCATGGAAAGCATATTAAACTGCCTTGAAAGTGTTATTGAAAAGGTTTTAGTTTCATTTACATTGAACAAAGTTGGTTCATTACTGCTCTATTTTTACTTGTTCTTCATGCTTGTAAGAAGGTTCCCAGTGTGTTCAATTAGGGCATATGGAGTTTTTCCAAGAAAGATAACCATATGATTTCAAAGTGATAAATCAACACACAATATCCTACAACAAACTTTTTTGACAGGACCTCTAATGCTCCTGCTTTGAAATCCTATCAGCTTGTTAGAATGTTTTTTAGGATCAATGAATACTTTTTAACACATACACTTTCCTTTGGGATTCTGTTCACATGAAAGTGTCTGATCATACAACTTGATTTGTTATGTATATTCCAATGAGACAATCAAAAACTGACTTTTATGGAAATGTTTCTTTTTGTTTTTGACAAGTATCTTCCTCTTCATCAGTTCTGGAGATGGGAGGTGAACGCTGGGGTCCAGCTGAAACAACAACTTGACTTTTAAACTCCTTCACACCCATGAACATGTGGATGACAAACCAAGGTTAATAATTTGAAGGAATCAAGAGCACAAGCTAAAATGGCTTTCAGTGCCAAATTCAGTTTAGATCAGTTCAATATACAGGTGAGAACATTGAACACAGTGTGGTCCTCTTCTAACTAAGAGTCTATGGACCCTGTCAGCATGTGTTGACATCCAGGTGAGAGATGGCTGTTGGTGTACATACCATCTATACTCATACTTACAGGTGTTTTATATACACAGCAATGATACTGAGGAATGTATCAGATTAAGTATCCCCAAGACTGGGTCAACCAAGATTTGTACATCTTCTCAATTTAATGTGTGTTTTTATTACAGAAAATATAAGTATTAAAACTAAAACAGACAAGAAACATCCCCCCCCCACCCCTAAATCCTAAAAACATCATCAGTTTAACAGATGAGCCTTCCTTCCTTCCTTCCTCCAGTCTGGTGGCACAGTGCTGACTACCCTGCCTGAGGTGGTGGATAAAGGGAAGTAATTCTCAGTTCACGGACATTTTTCATGACTACTTCTGGGATAGGAAAACATAACTTACAGGATATTCCTCCAAGATGTCAGTCAACAACATCTCTCCAAATATACTCCGACAGTAATGGGCCATCTTGGCTTGCTGGCGAGGACTGAAACAGAAACCATGAGTGTACAATACTCTCTAAATGGCAATATACAAACTTCAACAATTACTTGTATTCTATTGATTTGCAACTTCATATCACTCCATGTCACTTCATGTTACATGATCCCTTCATGTAGTTTCTTACTACTTCATATTTTAATCTGTTTAACAACCCTCCTTTCCAATCTTCACTATTTCAATACATATCAGATATGAACACATTATCATGTGCTTTGGAGTTGTTTCATTATACACAGCACTTAAACTGCCGTGTGCATTATCAGTCTTTGCTCCTGTTGATTATTCTGGGGTGGAATGGAAGCTGTATAGATAAAAAAAGTTGTCAGAACTCACGTGCAATGGTTTTCGAAGGAGAGAATTACTGGATAGTCCGAGGTTTTGAAGGCACTCTCTGCGATAGCCTCTATCACATCCTGTTAACATCAAGCAATATTACTGACTGACTGACTGAGTTTAGTTTTACGCCGCTTTTAGCAATATTCCAGCAATATCACAGCGGGGGACACCAGAAATGGGCTTAACACATTGTGCCCATGTTGGGAATCGAACCCGGGTCTTCGGCGTGATGAGCCAACGCTTTAACCACTAGGCTACCCCACCGCCCTCAAGCAATATGGGTCATGGTGCTGAATCTGCACACGCCAGAACAACAGTTGCATTTCTTCAAGCACCTGAAATCTACCTTGGTCCACACAAACAAAGCAATGAGATTGGTGCTCATACACCCTGATACTATGGGCATGCTTGTCATGCGACTGGTTTTTACCAAGACTACTACTTATGTATATGTTTTAAACATAATATTTAATGTTGACAACTACTTGAACAAAATTCCTGTTTGTAATTTTTAAACAATTAAATCAGTTCTCACTTAGAAAAGTACTTTTGCACATGTGTAATGATCTCTTTGATTGGTGCTTAAATTTGATTATATGATTGTGACTGACTCTTTGATTGGTGAAACTGAGAATGCTACTTTTACACATATGTAAGAAGTCATTTCATTGATGCTGCTTAATTTTACTTGTTTGTAACAAGCTCTTTGGTAAAACCTACAATACTACTTTTACACATTTGTTACAAGCCTGAATGGTGTTTACTTTGAATGGTACTTCTGTACACATGGTAAAGCCATGAGTGATAACTGGTTCTTCATCTTGTCCACGGCCATCCCAGCAGTCCAGTTCAATACATCGACACCCACTGAGCAGCACCTGGCGATAGATCTCCACCGAGGACTTACCAGTGAACTGGTGACCTACAATCCAACAACACAAGGTATGTGAAATTATTGTGACAAATCCTATATGGCCTACCTGTGAGATACTGGTATTGTGACCACTCCTGTGAGATACAGGTATTGTGACCACTCCTGTGAGATACTGGTATTGTGACCACTCCTGTGAGATACAGGTATTGTGACCACTCCTGTGAGATACTGGTATTGTGACCACTCCTGTGAGATACTGGTATTGTGACCACTCCTGTGAGATACAGGTATTGTGACCACTCCTGTGAGATACTGGTATTGTGACCACTCCTGTGAGATACTGGTATTGTGACCACTCCTGTGAGATACAGGTATTGTGACCACTCCTGTGAGATACAGGTATTGTGACCACTCCTGTGAGATACTGGTATTGTGACCACTCCTGTGAGATACTGGTATTGTGACCACTCCTGTGAGATACTGGTATTGTGACCACTCCTGTGAGATACTGGTATTGTGACCACTCCTGTGAGATACTGGTATTGTGACCACTCCTGTGAGATACTGGTATTGTGACCACTCCTGTGAGATACTGGTATTGTGACCACTCCTGTGAGATACTGGTATTGTGACCACTCCTGTGAGATGCTGGTATTGTGACCACTTATGTGTGACCTACCTGTGAGACACTGGTATTGAGACATAGAGATTACTAAACGAGTGTCTAGTTGTTCCAAACGTATTTAACGAGCAAAAGCTTATGTGTGACCTACCTGTGAGATACTGGTATTGAGACATAGAGATTACTAAGAGAATGTCTGTCACGAGTACAGTAATCTGTTTCTTACACACCATAAAATCGCAGCATTTTATGGTCGAATAGATTCAAATTTCATATTTTCTCATCGTAGCTGCGCAATGATACACAACACAATGTTTATGAATGAGTGACGTCACTTGGCTGCCTAATCACTACTCATCCCCATAGTGACCCTCCACAAAAAGGTTTCTTCCACCTCTTCACATCATCAAGGCAATAGTGATAATGAAAACTAGATAAGATCACAGAATATTAATTCAACCCTCTAAAACGATGATGTTACCATGCAAATGTGGATGATTTTAATTCTTGCAAGCGTAAAATATTTGAGCGTGTGACATCATCGTTATCACTTGGTGGTTGTCGTCATCGAAAGATTGTTTTGGATATCTATGCACATTGGGGATCTGTACTTGTGTACCAGTTGACGTTCAATGTTCACCCATCGACCGGAGCCAAAACTTTTGAGTGTGCGTAATTAGATGCACCCAGTGTGCTTGAATGTGACATTGCTGAGGTTACGTTCACTATCAATGGGGGACTCTTCTTCTTCGCCACATCCTTCTCGTTTTCCCGAGCCAGAAACTGCCACTTGGAATGTAATGGAATTTACGGAGTTTTCAGTATGAAATGTGAGTTGATTACATCCTGTATGTTATCAAGACATAAACTTTGCATTATCATGCGTCAGAGGAATATCTTGAGCAATGACTTATGTGTAGATCAACCGTTCCTGTACATGTTCGACTGAATAGAAAGGACGTGTGCCGCCATTTGCACTCATGAAGCCTTGCAAACGTTCTATGTTGTACATTGTTTCACCATGGAGTAGTCACATATGTGTGATACCAGTTTTCTCACATGGGTTTCTCACCCACGGGTGTGGAAGAATACTTTGTATGGCCTGCTTGTGAGATACTGGTATTGAGACTACTTTGTATGGCCTACTTGTGAGATACAAGTATTGAGACAAACTCTGTATCGCCTACCTGTGAGATAAGTGTTATGTGAGGAGTTGATGAAGTAATGAGACAAAGGTTGGTCCATATCCTCACTGAGATCCAGCTTCTCAGGAGGAACAAGGTTGTTATCATCGCTCATCAGGAACTTGAGGAACCCTTCCTGTGACAGGTGCCCTGGAACAAAGTGAGATAAATACCATATATCATCCCAATAACAAACATGTCCAAGCTTACTATCTGGCAACACAAACTGTAATGACTATGAACTAGAAGGACATACATAGTAACTTACATATTCAGAACATGTAATTATTCTGTTTGAATGTCAAACTAGACTTAAAAATTATGATTAAAAATATTCTGAAAGAACTGTTACTTTTGGAAAAAAATTAACCTGAAAGCAGTATAAAAAGTTCAATGATAAAACAATATGTTGCTGTTTGTTTATTGTATCCCCCAGTGCCCAATACCAATACTGTTAGCTGATGTGCCTAACTGTGAAAACATTCTGAAATATACTTGTGTGTAGGGGACATGGACACACGGACACAACATCAAATGTCTTACCAGTCCACATAAGTAGAAAACAATTCAAGAATTTGTTCAATTAAAATCAAAACAACATACACACACAAAAATAACAGAACACGTTTGCCATGCATAGTTGCACGATTGCCGCATACAAAGTAACAGAGGAACGAACTTCGAACTAATAACACATAAATGAGTTATGAAAGTATTTTATGACAGATCAATAATTCAAGTTCTTTTGGCTGATCACCAAGATAATTTGTCAGTCATCTTTGTGTATATATTCTGTCCTTCAAGCTCCTATGTACATGTTAGTTTATGCCAGAATAATTCAGGATTGGCCATGGTCACACTGATAAACATGGTCATCCATTTCCTAACTACAAGACCTTTCAAGCTACAGGCTTGAGTCATCAAGGCAGTCCAGAGGGTGATGGCATGGGCATTGTCCAGCTGGTGGCACTGTGACCACTAGGTCTTCAACTTGCTGATTCTTTGACAAGGTTAGAGTATGTGTTATATCCCTAAACTTTCACATCCTAGGTCATGTAGGTGCATAAGCCTTGGTTTTACATCTTTGGTGCAACAGATTCAAACCATTCAAGCCTAGGGTTTATATCCTTGGTGGATCAGTGAACCATTCAAGCCTAGGGTTTATATCCTTGGTGGATCAGTGAACCATTCAAGCCTAGGGTTTATATCCTTGGTGGATCAGTGAACCAATCAAGCCTATGGTTTATATCCTTGGTGGATCAGTGAACCATTCAAGCCTAGGGTTTATATCCTTGGTACATCAGAGAACCATTCAAGCCTAGGGTTTATATCCTTGGTGGATCAGTGAACCATTCAAGCCTAGGGTTTATATCCTTGCTACATCAGTGAACCATTCAAGACTAGGGTTTATATCCTTGGTGGATCAGTGAACCATTCAAGCCTAGGTTTTATATCCTTGGTACATCAGTGAACCATTCAAGCCTAGGGTTTATATCCTTGGTGGATCAGTGAACCATTCAAGCCTAGGCTTTATATCATTGGTGCATCAGTGAACCATTCAAGCCTAGGCTTTATATCATTGGTGCATCAGTGAACCATTCAAGCCTAGGGTTTATATCCTTGGTGGATCAGTGAACCATTCAAGCCTAGGGTTTATAATCTTGGTGGATCAGTGAACCATTCAAGCCTAGGGTTTATATCCTTGGTGGATCAGTGAACCATTCAAGCCTAGGGTTTATATCCTTGGTGGATCAGTGAACCATTCAAGCCTAGGGTTTATATGGTTGGTACATCAGTGAACCATTCAAGCCTAGGGTTTATATCCTTGGTGGATCAGTGAACCATTCAAGCCTAGGGTTTATATCCTTGGTACATCAGTGAACCATTCAAGCCTAGGGTTTATATCCTTGGTGGATCGGTGAACCATTCAAGCCTAGGGTTTATATCCTTGCTACATCAGTGAACCATTCAAGCCTAGGGTTTAACCATTCAAGCCTATCCTTGGTGGATCAGTGAACCATTCAAGCCTAGGGTTTATATCCTTGGTGGATCAGTGAACCATTCAAGCCTAGGGTTTATATCCTTGGTGGATCAGTGAACCATTCAAGCCTAGGGTTTATATCCTTGGTGGATCAGTGAACCATTCAAGCCTAGGGTTTATATCCTTGGTACATCAGTGAACCATTCAAGCCTAGGGTTTATATCCTTGGTGGATCAGTGAACCATTCAAGCCTAGGGTTTATATCCTTGGTACATCAGAGAACCATTCAAGCCTAGGCTTTATATCCTTGGTGGATCAGTGAACCATTCAAGATATCCTTGGTGGATCAGTGAACCATTCAAGCCTAGGGTTTATATCCTTGGTACATCAGTGAACCATTCAAGCCTAGGGTTTATATCCTTGGTACATCAGTGAACCATTCAAGCCTAGGGTTTATATCCTTGGTGGATCAGTGAACCATTCAAGCCTAGGGTTTATATCCTTGGTGCATCAGTGAACCATTCAAGCCTAGGGTTTATATCCTTGGTGGATCAGTGAACCATTCAAGCCTAGGGTTTATATCCTTGGTGGATCAGTGAACCATTCAAGCCTAGGGTTTATATCCTTGGTACATCAGTGAACCATTCAAGCCTAGGATTTATATCCTTGGTGGATCAGTGAACCATTCAAGCCTAGGGTTTATATCCTTGGTGCATCAGTGAACCATTCAAGCCTAGGGTTTATATCCTTGGTGGATCAGTGAACCATTCAAGCCTAGGGTTTATATCCTTGGTGGATCAGTGAACCATTCAAGCCTAGGGTTTATATCCTTGGTGCATCAATAAATCATGCCTAATGTCAGGTACATGTATTGTCCACTGTAGTTATTTCATCACATATAAAACAAGCTGCATTAAAATTCAAGTGTTTCTTTGTGCAGAATGAAAATAAGATAATCATATTTGAGATGATTTGTAGAAACAAATGAAAAACAAAAAAAACTATATGAGAAGGTCAAGGTATTTGTCCCGACCTGAAATACAGTAAAACCAAACACTGGGAGGAGGACTATATCATGTCACAGGACCACTAAAAAAAAAAACAGTACTAGTAAATAAATATTTTGTCTACAAGCTAATGAGGTGTTGTGTCCAAAACACCATGCAACACAAGCTAGGAAAACAAGGTAAAACCAGCCCAATGGTGTGGCGTTTTTCTTCAGATCCCAAACATAACAGAAAATGTTGCTGTTGATTGTTTATAGTTTTGTAAACATTGATTTCATATTTAGCTCTCAAGCCTTGTAATATTTATAAAATATTTCGGTTTAATATTTCTTCATTTCACCTTCATTGAACTGGTTTTCAAATTATTTATCAATTTCTGAAATCAAACTTAAAAGTCTACATTCCCAGGTATACACGGGTTCCATTCTTACCTTCCTCTGTAAACACAAGTAAAAGTTGAAATTATTAAATAGATATTATTTCACATCAAATTCTGGGCCATAGTTTTCATACAAGAATTATGAAAATATATTCCTCTCATGTAATAAAAGTATGGATTATTATTGCCAAAACACATAAAAAAAACCAAAAAACACACATTAAGGACACATCCTTGAAAATCTTAGCCACAAACATCTTAATTGCACAGATGACTTCTACCTAATGGCAACAAAGTCTTCACTTTATGAATGTGTAACATTTATAACATAGTAATTTTATCCATAAAACATCTGGTTGATGTAATAACAGATGGATACGTTACATCAAAATGCTGACAGTTTTCATCTTTAACCATGCATGCAGAATTTAATCAAGACAGTTGAACACTTAGACTGGAAGATTTAGACTGAAAGCTTGTCAAATACAAGTCACAAACAGTCACGGAGATGAGACACTGAGAAATTACTACCACATTATACATACACACATAAATGTCATAATGACATACATAAAATAGTATTCATATTCTGAAAAACATCACGTAAACAGTGCCATTTGACAGGAGTTACTTCCCTTTGTACAGGAATGCCATCCATTATGTGGACAACACACAGATCAACATATTAAAGGTAATGATCTAAAAGAATATGTAATACCATTATATCTACGGCAATGATTGTATGTAGAAGTAGTTTTAACATAGAGTGGGTCCCCATTACAGTCATTCAGGAGTAAGGAGACAATACAGCCAGGCAGTACGCCTAGGTATGTTCATAATCCAGCCAATATTATCAGTTCCCAAAATATACATCATATTGTATGAATTTGTTCCTTATCCATAAATAACCTGTTGATAAATCCATTACAAAGACATTCCTACTCAAATTTCAAACTACAAGATTATACTTCCAGTTATTTCTTAAATCTTTGAATAGGAGATGTACTTAGAGAACAAAGCAACCTACCTTTCTGTGCCATCCCAGTTTTGGTTTCATACTGATCTATGAGTTCCTGAGCCCGTGCTACCGTGTAGAATGGGTAGAGGATCTCATTGAGCCGCGGATCTCGCTGGTGTTTGTTGAGGAACTCCGTAAACTGCTCCACTGTCAGGTATGGCTTCTTTTTGGCCCCCCTACATCACACACCAATACTATTAGGCATAATTGAGTGCCATTGTAAAATAGGTATCAAGTACAGAAGTAACATAATGTTCTGTCGCAGGTACACCATACATATACATTGAATCCATTGATTAGTGGATCCTGTATGAAGGTAAGGGACACAACTGTAAATTGATATGCCCATGGTTACTGATGTTCTGCATCAAAACAATTAATCAAATATATCACACCATTACTAATTTCCTACAGTCTCAAAACATTCACTATTTACTTAACATATGACACAAATCATGAACAACATTTGAATCTTACATTTCTTCAAAAACCTTGACAACTTCTGTCCTTCCAACAAGCTGGTGATGGAAGTTGAAGAAATTGTCAAATGTGAATTTGTTGGGGTCAACTGTGCCATTCTGAAAAGAACAAACAGTATCATGTTAACATCAGAGAGATACAACAGGTTCCTTCTATTCTTGTGAACATATAGAATTTTTACACATCATTCACACACAAATGTTAACTGTTATTTCATATTTCTATCGGGCGTTGGGGTAGCCTAGTGGTTAAAAGCGTTGGCTCGTCACGCCGAAGACTCGGGTTCGAATCCCCACATGGGTACAATTTGTGAAGCCCATTTCTGGTGTCCCCCGCCGTGATGTTGCTGGAATATTGCTTAAAGCGGCGTAAAACCAAATTTAGTCAGTCAGTCAGTCAGTCAGTCAGTCAGTCAGTCAGTCAGTCATATTTCTATCATATAATATGTTTATCCCAGTCATATAAAGGCTAAACACTCTTGTTCTTATTACTTTGTTCAAAAATTACTATGTGTGAAAAGCAGTGTTCTTTAAGGGCCAAAGTTAAGTTTCAGAAAGATTTATCATTTCCACTCAGCCCAACTGTCCTATAGTTTTGGTAACAATCTGAAAACCAACTGTTTGAAAAGGGACCTTTAATGTGTCTCCTGCTGATCAGCTAAACTATTGATCCAAAGATTCCTCCAGACTCAAGCTCTGCACTGTTACCATACCCCACTCCGTCTCCAACCACACCAAACCCTACATAAAATTTAAAATGTCCTTTGTTAAGATTACCCATGGACATTTGCCCTTCCTAACTTCCTAGTTTTCGTCATTTTATATATTTCTTATAAGTTCAACCTAGATAAACCTTAAAGGAATAGTCTTTAAAAATGCTCAACCTTTTTTGTCAATACATCAACTACAGTTAGATGTGGCTCAAGTGCTCGATACATTACTGAAGTAACACCACACAGGACAGAGAGATATTGATCCATTAAAACTCCACCACAAACCCATTTCCTTATTACTTCTTCTTCAGAAGGCTGCCTTCAATAACTACTGCATTCATGCACAATTTACGATAAGCAGTAACAGAATACATGCGACAACTAATACATCAATTCACCGAGGATTTGTGGACTTAACAAGGGTACAAATGTGATATTGTTCTCATATATTCTTGCCACATGAACACCCTGACATAGCATTCCACTCTAGTCAAATCACCATGGTTAAATCATCTTCAAGATTTAATGATGCATATAAACCTTTGTCGTGGATTTAATCTATGTTTTCCTAATAACAACTGCAACCCCCCTACAACCAAGAAATGCGATACTCAAATCTGCAATATATCTTCAGTTGGGAAGTCGTATAACAAGAAATGGTAAACTTATGCCACAAAAAATAACGACATCCTGACCATTGAGCCCTTCTTGTTATTGACAGGCAAATCAATATCACGTACACAAGACAACTAATTACATCGGACACACATGGCACCTTTGATGCCAGTGTTTTGGTTATCAGTTGCCAGGGAAGTAGTTTCCAGTTTTCTGAAAGCCTTTCGCGAAATGCTAGCTGCATAAACTGCACAATATCCTGTTCATTATGGAGAGCAATGGCATGCATCCCTTAGTTCCAACAACCTTTCTGGCAAAATGTAGCCTTTTTTAGCCATTTGGCCTCACACAAATATCTTCCCGACAACTGCTTAGGTTTATTTCTGAATGTACATGGGGAGGTTGCAAAGAAGGTAAACATCTTGAGTGACTCATATTGATCTAATAAGCTCCTTTCAGAGTTTGTCAATGTTTCTTTTGGTTTCTATACCTTATTTAGACCAAGACACATATAAATTCCTAAGGATAAATCAGTTTCATAACAAACATGTTTTCAAAAACAGCCAGCTAAAGACTTGTAATGTTTACAAATACATACATTCAGAATGTCTTCAGTCACTGTATTTAATCAACTGGAAGAATAATTACCCCTTCTTGTGGAGACACAGTTGATATTTTTGTTAAAATGTAATCAAAGATCTTTTTCGACATTAGAGACAAGTTATGAATTTAAGATTTACCCATCAACCCTTTTAGTGTTTGATAAGGTTCAAATTTTATCATTTATCAAAAGAATAGCTTTCTGCCTTTTAACTTTGATTTAACGATGAGTTCAGTTACAGACCAGCATGTTAGCAGAAGAAGAAATCCCCTAGTGAGGTAGGAGAGGGATGTTGACTACTTCCTTGTATTGCTGGAGTAGACTTAGGCAACAGTCACACACTTACACTTACTGAAAACTCTGTGTGTGCCTCGGGCTACTGGTAGTGTATGCCTAACATTGCTTCCTTCCCCTTTGTGTTAACACCTGGTGTCATGACAGTATAACTGTCACCACTATTTTGCCTATACCGCTCAATGGACTCTTATTTGGCATATAATAGAGATAATCTGGCATTGACGCTTCCTCCTCATGGTGATGACAAAGGATATGCCTTGGACATTAACTGAATTCTGGGATGGATATGAGAATGAAGCAGCCATGTTTAAAATAACTCAAGATGAAAGTGGCTAGACTTGTAGCACTGGAGAATTACAATCCAAACAACAAATATCTCTGGTGTAACACACCTCTAACAGCATGTCAGCTGCATACCCTGTGAGGTAGGACCTAGACATATTGAAGCCAAAGCATTGGTGCTGGCTGCAGACCAGTGTGTATACAACCATGGCATATAGTGGTGAATCAGGGACTCAAACACCACTAGGGGCCACTCAAACATCGCTAGGGGCCATAACTATTCAGGGTCTCCCTGCAGACATTGCTCCTCTGCAGACATAGCTCTATGACATTTGCTAGTGGATGTTAAGGAATGTTGCAGACCGTCTGCTTTTGGCATATTACACTGACCAGACCTGATCGAAGACCACAAGGCAGTTCTCCCCTATATATAAAATACATAAATAATTAACTTGACAATGAAAACTTGGTAGCATAGGCTGTAGCAATAATTGCAATAATATGCAATATAATAATAATAATAATAATAATGTGTCCATTTATATAGCGCCAAACTCCACACTAGGTATGCTCATAGCGCTAACAATCAAGGCCATTTTATATACTGGGACCGAATGAACTCTCATCAGACACTACATAAGATGCTGCCCAACAACCATGCCACAACAAGCTCATGGCAACCAAACCCAACTTTACATCAAATTATCAATTTATCTTAATGTCTACCTTGTTAATTAAGAGCAACCTTGGACAAAGGCCCTATTCCAGAAAACTAAATGGACAAATTTCAAAATTTCACGCCAAGGGTTTGATAAATTCCAACACAGTGTACACTGTCAAGAACACAAAAACAATGAGATCATAAAAAATGTTGTGAAGACATGACTTACCTAACTTAGGATTTTGTTTCATCTATTTTCCTGTAGTACAATTCAACTTGAACTTAAACTAAAAGTGTAAGAATTTCAATGAACAATATTTTAGAATCCCAACTACTTGATCTCAGTTAACACCCAATTTCAGAATCTGAATAAATCCTGAGTTTGGATCTCCACCTCAAACTACAAGCCGGTCATCTTGCCAAGATGCACATTTTATTGTGATGAGGTCATTGAATCCTGTTCACTACCAAATCCTAATTGGTGGTGTTGGTCAGTTGGTCCCCCAGGATCCCAAATGGGCGTTGCGTCCCAACTGGTGCTAACCCAGGTGTGGTGACATGGCTGCTGGCCACAGACTTGTTTTCATCTGCTACACAAAGCTTCTTATGGCTGAATCAATTGGCTGGTTCGATTAATATAACAAGGCCTGACACACCCATAAGAAGTTAACAAGGTCCTATCTGGCCACACTTGTGGTGGACATTGATTTTGTAGGAGAGTGTTTCAGTGTTAGGAATTGTGACATTTCTTCCATATCAAATGACATAATATGGAATCTATATTATTGTGTGAATGAGTTTAGTTTTATGCCACTTTTTAGCAATATTCCAGCAATATCATGGTGGGGTACACCAGAAATGGCCTTCACACTCTGTACCCATCTATATTATTGAATACAGTGAAAATGTGGTAATTCTAACACTATGGTCAACTGGTAATTGGCTTTATACCAGACATATTTACCTTGGCAACTGTAGATTGGGACAAAATCAATCAAAAAAGATCCTATACCAGCAGGGAACCCCTTAACTTTGTTATGTGTGGGCCAACACACACTGCTTTGAGCATAGACTTACACATGACACCTACAATAGGCCTAAGGTCAGTCTAAACACAGACTGACATGATAATTTGTCCATCAATGATGAATATTCCACTGATACACTGAACATTAGATTACATAACCACGTATACAGCTTGTAACAGCAGTTGGCAACTCCACAGAAAGATGGCTTTTTAAACCTTAGAGATAAGTTTATATCAAGAAGTATTTTCCAAGATAAATTTGTCTGCAAATACAAACATCCTTCAAGCAAACACACAATTCTCATTATACTGAATTAGTTTAATATAGTTCTCCTGGGAACATATGGGCTGGAATTTTATATTCTGTGTGAAACTGAATTGATGCTTGACTCTGCATCGCTAAAATGTACTTGTGTTTCAGTAAGAGTGTGCTCTGTTTCTAATAAAACCTAGACAGAGTTATACAGTGATTCACTTAATCCGTCAACAATGACATACCAGCCACATCATAGCTGTCAACCCATATAGTCTACCCATACACTCAACCCAAGACTACCCCTCAACTCCTACCCAGACTAGTCCCCTCCTATAGCTTAGACTTCCCACATACTCTACCCAAAACTACCCACACTAGCCATGTCTACCTTGCACTACCCACCTTCACCCTGTACTAACCACAACCACCCTGTATTAAAGAAATCCACTACCCACCTCCTCCCTGCACTACCAACATCTACACTGCACTACCTACGACCACCCTGCACTACCAACATCCACCCTGTACTACTCACATCTACCCTGTATACCCACAACCACCCTGCACTACCTACGACCACCCTGCACTACCCACGACCACCCTGCACTACCCACGACCACCCTGCTCTACCAACATCCTCCGTGCAGTACCTACGACCACCCTGCACTACCCATGACCACCCTGCACAACCAACATCCACCCTATACTACCAAAATCCTCCCTGCACTACCTACGACCACCCTGCACTACCAACATCCACCCTGTACTACCAACATCTACCCTGTATACCCACAACCACCCTGCACTACCAACATCAACCCTCTGTACTACCAACATCCTCCCTGCACTACCTACGACCACCCTGCACTACCAACATCCACCCTGTACTACCAACATATACCCTGTATACCCACAACCACCCTGCACTACCTATGACCACCCTGTACTACCAACATCCTCCCTGCACTACCTACGACCACCCTGCACTACCAACATCCACCCTGTACTACCAACATCTACCCTGTATACCCACAACCACCCTGCACTACCTATGACCACCCTGTACTACCAACATCCTCCCTGCACAACCTACGACCACCCTGCACTACCAACATCTACTCTGTATACCCACAACCACCCTGCACTAACTATGACCACCCTGTACTACCAACATCCTTCCTGCACTACCTACGACCACCCTGCACTACCAACATCCACCCTGTACTACCAACATCCTTCCTGCACTACCTATGACCACCCTGTACTACCAACATCCACCCTGCACTACCTACGACCACCCTGCACTACCAACATCTACCCTGTATACCCACAACCACCCTGCACTACCTATGACCACCCTGTACTACCAACATCCTTCCTGCACTACCTACGACCACACTGCACTACCAACATCCACCCTGTACTACCAACATCCTTCCTGCACTACCTACGACCACCCTGCACTACCAACATCCACCCTGTACTACCAACATCCTTCCTGCACTACCTATGACCACCCTGTACTACCAACATCCACCCTGCACTACCCACATCCACCCTGTACTACCCACCTGAACTACCCACAACCACCCTGTACTAACTACCTGCACTACCCACCTCCACCCTGCACTACCCACGTCCACCATGCACTACCCAAGTCCACCCTGAATTACCCAAGTCCACCCTGTATTACCCACCTTCTCTGTGGGGAATCCTGCAGCTTCCAGGGCCTTCTCTACGCGGCGCCGGTCATCTCGGTTCTGTGCCATCATCTTCAGGATACTAAGAATAAGAGGATGTATGTGATAATGTAGAGCCATTTTACTTAGATTTATCTACACTTAACTAAACTTGGGCCCAATCTCTGAGATATTCAGTAAGGTTCCATTGAACAAATAGAATCACTCATCACAACCAGGTTCAGTTATCCAATGTGGGCATAAACCCCTTTCTGCTGATCACTGCCATGATATGGATGGAATACTGCTGAAGGTGGGGTCACTTGATCCCCTAACAATGTGCTGCTATGTGTAGTCAATGGAAAGAAATATGTACACAGGGTGGAATATCTCAGTTTTCCCATCAAAAGCATATTTGTAAAATAACTGCTAGTGACAAAGCATTCAATACACACATGCATGTTCAGCTACCCTAATGAAGGAATTAAGTGATATTGGCTGGCAGCTTAGAGGTATGCATATCAAAATACCTTTCAGAGAAAGAAAACTATGCTACTGGGCCATTAAAGTTTGGCCTTTTTAGGTAAGTATAGAGCAACTCAAATTTCAAACCAGATTTGCCAGTCCTATATGTTTTCATCTTTTTTCAATTCACTTCAATTCAAAGAAAATTATATTCATATTAATTCAATGTAGTGTTCTTCTATTGCAAAGCTGACCATTGCATTCCTGTTATTGTCGGTGAAATGAAGACAAACATCAGGATAAACCTGATCTTCCTGGGCACAAATCTGTGGCACTATCAACAACTCCCTGACATTTCTGCAGTTTCTCCAATGCAGATATATGTTTGTCTTACTTTTTTGTGGGAATCTTTCCATCCGGGCTCTGGATGAAGCTGATGCGAGTGTATGCCTTTTCAAGGAATGACAACGAGCTGCCATTGATTGCCAGGAGATTGGTTGAGTATTGTAACAGCTCTTCTGCCCATTCCTGCAAACAACAAAAGTAAATTGAGTGAGTTTCGTTAAGACCAGTCATTCAGTTATATCACCTATGTCAACAAAATATGGTTTATATATTGACCACACCTGAGGGAGAATAGCTGCAGGTCAGAGTTTCCACCTTGGTAAAACCCTCCAGCACTACTGCAAGGATCCTTATCAAGGTATATTATGGATTTGAACCCACCAATTGTTCATCAAACAAGAGCAAAATATGCAACAACAAATAAGAGAAAACAAAACAAGAAACACCAAAAGGCGATAAGATTCAAGATGTCACGTTTTACCACATATGATGGCCAGATGGGAATGAACAGATTTTGCCATTTCAGGGAAATTAATATTCACAGATTTTGACTTATTTGGGAACTAACAAAAATGTCTTCTTCATGATTGAACAAGGAGATGACATATCCAAATTTGCAGTTCGCAAATAGCTACTTATACCCGTTTTTGGTTTGTTGCCATGGATACTTTCAGTTCAGTGAAATAAAATATAATGCTGTTCAGTATTTGCAATAACCCAAATCATCAAAATTCACCAGCAATATATGTAGCATGTTTCATTAAAAAATATTTGATAGTATGGGAGCTCTGCTCTGGAATTGAAAAACAGGTTAGCAAACTGATTAATTGCCATGCTGATCATTAGGTCCAGTTTGTCATCCAGCGATATAATAAATACTGTTTATCTTATAAGAGGAATAAACATATCTTGCCTAATGCTGGAAATATTTTTACAATGTTTACCTGCTAAAGAAATTATATTTGCAAAAGAATGAAAAGATGACGTTAGCTATGATTATGTTGATATGAGTAAACTGTAAGATCCTCTCCAGCCCGTCAAGTTTGGTCAATATATACTGGCCTTTGCTATCTAGTCAGAATCACGCTAACACAGTCTAACCTATGAAAACAAATTGATTGTCACTTCACAATCTAACATTCAAGTGTACACAATTGACACAGCTGGATGCTGAAGGAAGCAAAGAAATTCTGCAACTAGCAATATGTGAAGTTGGCAGAAACCAAGCTACTTTATCATATACTGATGATATTGCTGGAAAACCACACAGGCTCTGTCATGACAGAGTTAGAGAATGGATTACTTGCCACATTGTATTTCAATATATCACATTTTGTCAGCTTTATGTGGAAGGGGGCGCCAAAAAATGAGGACAACAGATTTGAGGATCACAATGAGGGTGGAACGGGACTTGAACACAGTGATATATGACCATCTTCACAAAGAGAGGCAATTCAATGGTGAACTACTGGACAGAGGATGACTGGCATCCAGTACATGTTGGAAAGAATACCCAAGCCATTAATACCCATGAACATAGTCAAGAATAAGCACAACTCACCATTTCCGTCTCAAAGCTGAATTTTGTTTCATAATACTAGGTTAGTGTTGCATGCAGTCCTGCAGGGTTTGATGTATCATAATAGTGTTATTGTGTTCCCCACATGGCGGGGAGGTCAAACCATACACAACCATATACTTCCATCTGGAACTCTCCATTTGGGATCCTGGGATACTTTAAATCAGGTTTCAGGAAAATGTTGGAAAAGTATTTCACATGCAAACATAATCATTACCACCCACAAAAGAAAAATGAAATAGTGTGTTACAAGAGCTGTATTGTTACACTTGATATAATACATGGAAACTGCCACTTGGTATACTCTATCAGGGGACTCCTCAGGGCACAAACTCTTGGACATCATATTCCCTTGCTATACTTTGTCTGGAGAACTCTATACACTGTCAGAAAAAAGTATGAGACAATAAACTGAGTAATATCACAGAAACTTTTCTCCCTATAGGAGTAGCTGGTTGTGCATTGACATAATACAGGGACACACCCGAAGCCAATAAATTTATCACAGCACAATTGTTAAATCAGGTGAAATTAAAACTTATCATTGCTAGATTGAAGAAATTACTCAACATAGAGGATTTACAGAAAGTGTGCAAAGGAGTAATAATGTCCACAATGTTAATTTCACTGACATCATATTCACTCATTAACATTAAAACATCAATCATTAACAACCTACAGACCACAATACAATCTGTGCAATAATGCACCCCCCCTTCCAACTCAGTTGTCTGCCAGTCAGAAAACCACTTGTGCACATGACCTAATATGTTTTTGTGTGTTAAAGTTTCCAAAAGAAATATGCTTGATCAGCCAATCAATACCATGGATTCAGTTGCACTTCATTTATATCACAACAGCCAAACCTTTTTATGAAGAAACAAAGAGATTTACTTTAATTCAATCATGGGTTGCAGTCAGTGACTGAGTGTTAATTGAGAGAATATATTGCTTCACCCATCATCACCATCAATCTTGCAGTCATTTCCGGCAGCTTGATATCAACAGGTTATTCTATCAATTCATTAATCAAGTTAAAATGAGTCAATGAATGTTATCTTAAACTGCAGTACACATTCCAACCAACACCTTAGAACAGACATAATCAGGTCTGGCAGTGGCAGACCAGTGTTTGTAGAAATATTCCTCATCAAAGTGACAAACAACATCATCACCTAGTCAGCCAGTCAGACTTAAATTCCCCACAACATGTTTTACCTATTTTGATTAATTCCCACAATTCATCTAACATACATTTCTTGCTTTGTGCCCTTTCTACTTTGATTGTCTGCTCTATTTTGACCGTCTGCCTATACATACCATTCATTGCTGAAAAATTGGGTTTCCAGACATTTTGGATGACACATTAAGCCGATGGCCAGTGGTTCGCATCAAATGAAACGAATTTTTACTTGGATGAATAATTAAAACTGTCTTTCATGTCTGATCACACTGAATAGATTTTTTCCACATGGGTTTTCCACAGTACTAGTATGCAAGCTGCTAGAGCTTGGGCTGTAGGACTTTGGCTGAGAATTTCAAAGGTCAGGGTCATTAATCTTTTCTCACAACCTTATCTCAGATCATTCCCATCAGTCAATAATACGTTGAGCTATAACATTCTCCTTAATAAATCACCCTCTAATAATGAACAAAAGAATTCTTCTCTTTCCAAGAAAGTAGGCACCTAAAGACTTTTCAGTCTTTAACACTTCAGCTATCATGCTTATTCCTCATACGCACCTTCTGCAAGTAAGCCCAACAAAACTTGACAGTAAAATGTTCAATACATATAATGTAAACGAAGACACAAAACTGAATAGTTCCTCTGAAATCTCCCCAATGATACGAATGAGACCTGTCCAAATTATTCAGTGCTGTATTAAATCTTGTATTTAATGTATGCTCATGTCTTCATACATGTACTCTTTTGACAGTTGGTTCAGATGTTAACTTCAAATATGTATCCCACACCACTACAACATTTATCACATAATAAACACCTGCATCAATAATTTGCCTCATCCGATAAGTCAATGAGCTTTACAGATACAGCAGCACGACATCCTTAGTCCCAAAGCCCAATATGTGTCCAGTTGTAGGCAAGGCTGTGACAGTCACACAGGGAGTATGTCTTTAACTGTAAACCTAAACCAGACATCAGGAGAGCACTAAACTATCAAATCCTTAAAATGAAGATTACGAATGAGCTGAGCTGAGAATGAAACCAGGAAGAGCAATCAATCAAACGGCAGACTCATTGAAATTATGCGATGCTCTAGCGGTCTGGTCTCCCACAGAAGGTGGCGATTTAGATGCAGGAACATCTCGGTCAACTCCTGCCAAAGTCTCCTGTGTGTGATCTCAGGTCCCGCCATGATGTGGGTTTTCCCCTCGATTAATCTCCTCCTGTCGCGGCAGACATGACAAACACTGAGGCAGGAAGTACCAACATGATACATTGAGAGTCACATCCACAGTATTGATAATTTCAGCTATTGTTCATACATTATTGTCATTGTCTAAACCTCAAATCAGTCCTGCATCTGCTTATCTTCTGTATAAGGCACAGGAAAAGTATTTTTTCATACATTGTAAATTTACAATGCAGTGCATTTACATTTGCAAGTTTGAATGGTTCTCCTCCTGCCCAATACTCCAGCTGTACTATCATATTCATACACCACAGTCACTCTGACCACATAATGATGGTGGGTTGAATGAGCTGAGCACTACATCAAAACAAAGCATGCCTTAACATCCAAGATAGCACTTTCTTTACACTTCTGTATACACCAGTCAATAATAGCTATATGCAGAAGACATACAGACATTGGTCAAACAAAGCCTTCAACTAACCTATCATTACCCCAACCCTGGCTGATATTTCTCCGTAAAGACCCAACAGACACATCTGTTCAAACATGTATGTAACCTTTACTGCAATACGGACAAAATAAGCAAGACATTATCGATCAGCTTTAAGATGGGCCAGTTTGGGATCATGAAGGTCACTGAATGCACTTCCTTGCTGTGGTAGATGAAACAATGAAACATTTAGTCAAGTCATCAGTTGCAGTGATGCAATGTAAACTGCTGACAGATGGTAAGGCAGGTGGTATAAAGGGGTAGGGCTAGCCTTACAACACACAGATTGCAGCAGTATTTAACAGCAATGGTGCCAACAAATGAGACCAACATTCTTTTTCAAATCATGTTACAGTTCCTGAGTGACTCTTTCCTTGTCAGACACATACGAAAGTGCCTTTGAGCAGGACTCATCTGGATATTGGCGCTATATAAATCTCTATATATTATTATTATTAACAAACCACATATCCTGATCCGGCGATGTAAGAAGCAGATATTGGCAGCTATATTTCACCACTGTCATCTCAGTGAGACATGTCAGTGAGAGATGTCACACAACCAAATAACCATATATACATACACACACACACATGTAAAGGAGAGTCTGTACGTTTTATGGATTATATATATTTGGCAACTGGGGACTATATACATAAAATGCTTACAATCATAATCATGATGTATCTGGGACATGAAGCCATCAATTTATCCTTGGCATGAAAGAAACACAACT